AGCAAGTCACGTTGACCATGGTACCACAGTATTTCGATAATATTTCTCACCCTTTTTACCACAGGGTTGGCACTAGAAGCTTTCTTGGGGCCCATGGTCACTTATTTTGCAGATAAAATCACCAAAAACGCTGTAATAATACGAAATGTTCCGATTGTATGCTTGGATGTTACCGCGGAGGCTGGCTTGTAAACAATGCCATCGGCGGAACATGTGAGGCTGGCTCAGGCCTCACATAGACGCGTCTCGGACAAATAGCGCTGAGCGGGTTTTTTAGCGGCATGCGAGGCAAAATCTTAGCGATAAAATGTATCGGTATGCGGATTTAACGTTATGTGATGCCAACGGTATGCGGGGGTCCACTGTATATCTAAGAATAATGCTTATATATCTGCCAGTAATACCTGTATTTCTATCCTTAAGTTTCTTGAGTTATTCTATATTATTAACACTCAAGGGTTAATAATCCATTTACCACCATCTTACTGTCATAGTTACAGCAGTAATCAGTATGTACTTTGTCAAGCTGTAGCAGCTTGACAAAGCTCCTGGAGAGCAAAATGTTGCCACAGAAAATGTCACATTAGTTGCAACTGTGTCTACTTTCCTAGCATTCTGTTGATAATTCTACCATTATTACTATCTAGTTCATGGACATTTGGTAAACCTGTAGGGGGTTATACAGTGTTTTGGGAAGGAGGAGATAGATCCAGTTCACACTGCAGAAGTATGTTTGAAGTTGTGTTCACTGGTATCATGGAGTGCCTTCACTTTGCTTGTGAATTAACAGTGGTCCAGGAGGTGACCTTGAGGAAGCTCCTCGCCAGCACGGCGGCCATTTCGAGGACACAGAAGACCTTCCAAGGAGACATGTTTCCAGGTACCTTACCAACACTACATTATCAACCCTTCACACACCATCACCTTTCTAATCGACACGTTCCCAGGCATCTATTTTCCAGAAGTACCTAGACATCACTATTCTAATGAACATCTGAACTCCAACAGGCTCTTCTCAATCCTTCAGAGTGCAGGTACTGCACATCCTACCTCCAGGACTGTATCATCCTCACTCATCCTTCAGAGTGCAGGCACTGTACTTCCCACCTCCAGGACTGTATCATCCTCACTCATCCTTCAGAGTGTAGGCACTGTACTTCCCACCTCCAGGACTGTATCATCCTCACTCATCCTTCAGAGTGCAGGCACTGTACTTCCACCTCCAGAACTGTAACATCCTCACTCATCCTTCAGAGTGTAGGCCCTGTACTTCCCACCTCCAAGACTGTAACGTCTTCACCCATTCTCTCAAAGTGCATGTACTGTACTTTGCACCTCCAGGACTGTAATGCCCTCACTCATCCTTCAGAGTGCATGTACTGTAATTTGCACCTCCAGGACTGTAATGCCCTCACTCAGCCTTCAGAGTGCAGACACTATACTTCCCACCTCCAGAACTCAAATATATCTAACTGGCTTTCCTTACTCCCTCATTTATGTTGGTTTGCTCATATGTACTCCAACAGCAAACTGAATCTCAAAAAACCGCTTATCTCCGCTCTAATCTAATACATGCACATAAAATGTGCACTAACCACACTATTTCAAACAAGTAAATTTAAAGTAGGTTAGGTAATGTTTGTTAAGGAAACAGGACATGTGTTTCCTGACGTGGGTCTTAGTTATACGATGACCCACAGCTGGAGCTTTTGGTCATCTGACTGAGGCCTTCCACTGGCTTACCCTTTCACCACTTTAAAAATTAAAGTTCTAATACCTGGATTAAAAAAATGGTATGAATGTACATAAAATATATAACTTAAATATTAATATAATAATTTTTTTTTTTTTTTTCAACAAGTCGGCCGTCTCCCACCGAGGCAGGGTGACCCAAAAAAGAAAGAAAATCCCCAAAAAGAAAATACTTTCATCATCATTCAACACTTTCACCACACTCGCACATTATCACTGTTTTTGCAGAGGTGCTCAGAACACAACAGTCTAGAAGCATACACATATAAAGATACACAACATATCCCTCCAAACTGCCAATATCCCAAACCCCTCCTTTAAAGTGCAGGCATTGTACTTCCCATTTCCAGGACTCAAGTCCGACTATATGAAAATAACCGGTTTCCCTGAATCCCTTCACTAAATATTACCCTGCTCACACTCCAACAGATCGTCAGGTCCCAAGTACCATTCGTCTCCATTCACTCCTATCTAACACGCTCACGCACGCTTGCTGGAAGTCCAAGCCCCTTACCCACAAAACCTCCTTTACCCCCTCTCTCCAACCCTTTCGAGGACGACCCCTACCCCGCCTTCCTTCCCCTATAGATTTATATGCTTTCCATGTCATTCTACTTTGATCCATTCTCTGTAAATGACCAAACCACCTCAACAACCCCTCCTCTGCCCTCTGACTAATACTTTTATTAACTCCACACCTTCTCCTAATTTCCACACTCCGAATTTTCTGCATAATATTTACACCACACATTGCCCTTAAACAGGACATCTCCACTGCCTCCAACCGTCTCCTCGCTGCTGCATTTACCACCAAGCTTCACACCCATATAAGAGTGTTGGTACTACTATACTTTCATACATACCCTTCTTTGCCTCATAGATAACGTTTTTTGACTCCACATATACCTCAACGCACCACTCACCTTTTTTCCCTCATCAATTCTATGATTAACCTCATCCTTCATAAATCCATCCGCGACACGTCAACTCCCAAGTATCTGAAAACATTCACTTCTTCCATACTCCTCCTCCCCAATTTGATATCCAATTTTTCTTTATCCAAATCATTTGACACCCTCATCACCTTACTCTTTTCTATGTTCACTTTCAAACTTTCTACCTTTACACACATTCCCAAACTCATCCACTAACCTTTGCAATTTTTCTTTAGAATCTCCCATAAGCACAGTATCATCAGCAAAAAGTAACTGTGTCAATTCCCATTTTGAATTTGATTCCCCATAATTTAATCCCACCCCTCTCCCAAACACCCTAGCATTTACTTCCTTTACAACCCCATCTATAAATATATTAAACAACCATGGTGACATTACACATCCCTGTCTAAGACCTACTTTTACCGGGAAGTAGTCTCCCTCTCTTCTACACACCCTAACCTGAGCCTCACTATCCTCATAAAAACTCTTTACAGCATTTAATAACTTACCACCTATTCCATATACTTGCAACATCTGCCACATTGCTCTATATATCTATAATATATACATTAATTATAACATAACTAACTATATATCAGTATTAAAAAAATAATATAATTAATGAATACTAACTCTAATAGCTATTAATATTTTTTGTAGTAATGAGTTATGGTACGAAAAAAATGTTATCATAATAACAATAATTTTTAAAGTTGTGGAGGGGTAAGCCAGTGGAAGGCTTTGGTCAGATGACCAAAAGCTCCAGCTATGAGTCACCATATAGCTAAGACCCACATCAGGAAACACTTGTCTTGTTACCTGACAAACCTTACCTGACCATCGTACAAGGAAGCACTAGGAAGAATAAGAGTCGTGTTAGGACTCTCTTCCCTGATGAATGTTATAACTCATTTCATATATATCACCAGGAATCCATACGGGGCCAGAGATGAGTTCAACAGACGACCTCCACCACAACGGGAGAACTACAAGATGGAGAGGTAGGTCCAGTCTAGCTGTAAGTTTACAGTTGTGTATTATTACGTATACAGCATATACCTGTACTAGGCATCTTATTCTCTCCCAGCCTATACATTCTTCTCAAAAGATTATATAAATATAAATATTACTGGCAAGATGAATAATCATTGCCAGGTCATTCATTATAAATTATCTTGAGATTATAGGCAAAAAAATGTGTGAAAGACTGTGCAAGGCTCACATTATACCAGGTAAAGTGATGTATATGTATTTGCTTGGGCTCCTAGGCAATTTTTTTTACTCCATATAATACTAAGGCTGAGACAGGCTGTATGTAGACATGGAAAATTTAGTCTGGATACTGTGTTTTATTTCAGTTGAATAAACTGGGCAAGAATACAACACCTGTAAGACAAGATCAAAATAATGTTCACACAGAGAAAAATCAAAATGTATGAAAATAAAGTAGCCAAGAACTCAACAGATCCTCAACACACTTAAATGGTGTGATGGTCAAGATAATTAGTGACATCATGTTGCCTCTCCATGGGGAAGTGGAATAGAATTCTTTCTCTGTAAGCCATGTGTGTTGTAAAAGGCGACTAAAATGCCGGGAGCAAGGGACTACTAACCTCTTCTCCTGTATATATTACTAAATGTAAAAGGAGAAACTTTCGTTTTTCCTTTTGGACCACCCCGCCTTGGTGGGATACGGCCGGTGTGTTGAAAGAAGAATGTTGCCTTATAAAATTTATAAGATTTTTAAGTTTTGTAACATTATATTTGTTACTCTGTGACATTGTTAACACCCTTGTAATCTCTAGTATTGTCTCCACTGTTTTATGTCAAACATATTTAAGTTACATATTAGTATTATAATCAAATAAAGCGTTAAACTGACAAGATTCGTGCAGCTTAAGTCACATAACACAGTGACAAGGTGCTGAATTGCTTTATCTAGTCATCCCAGAGTTTATGTTATCTGTTGCAAAAACACTAAAATTCTTTGCTACTCTATATATTTAATGCAGTCATCAATTTCTTTGAGTTTCGTATTGCTTCTTGATAGTTCTCCTTCAGAGAATCACTGGTGACTGAGGCAAGTTAGTTAATGGGGTTTAAGGCTATCAACTACATGATTTCATGGCCCCTGATGATGGCTTTGAGGGGGACTTGAGTTAGAGTTCGCCACAGCCACGCTGGTGTGGGATTCATCTACAAAAACTTGCATTTGTAGTCACAGTGGGGACCATGCTAACTACATGAGGGTCATTAAAACTACACCTAACTTTTCTAGTACTAGACAGAAATACTTAAATCTCTACTTTAGGGCTTAAAATTGACTCTCACCATATATACACATTGAGAGACATGCATCTCTCTGTGTATAGTGTATCCTGTGCCTGCAATTTTAGAAATCCCAAAAAATAATACAGCCTCTCCTCACTTAATGACAGAGTTCCGTTCCTAAGACCACGTTGGTAAATGAATTCGTCACTAAGTGAGTAACATACTATAATGGTAATGAGTTTGTGTCAACCAACTTCGATACTGTTTTAATGTCACCTTTGCACCATTTATTTTATAGCATTTCTGGTATATTTTTAAATATTTATACAGTAGTGTACTGTATATTGTAATAAACAGGATAGAGGAAATCAGCTCTAATATACGTTATTTAGGTATGCATACTGGTCAGAGAGCCGTCGTAAGTCCGAGGCATCGATAAACGAGTACGTTGCTAAGTGAGGAGAGGCTGTATATAGTATCTAAAATGTTTATTTAGAACATAAATGTGTTGAAGTGTGGCTTGGGGAGTGTGTGTGTGTGTGTGTGTGTGTGTGTTTGTTTGGGTTTTATCTTGCTTGAAAATTAGTTAGAATGTTATTTTACTAAAAAACAAGAGTGAATTACATGTATTGTGTTGTAACTGGCGAGCCTCCAGATTCCACCGCATGATGTCAGATGGTCATGGTAGCATGTACCATGATTTATGGTTACACATTCAATAATTAGTAGTTATCACATCTTCATTATTCCTGGCAGAGCTAATTACACTCCACTTAGTAATACCAATCAAATACCACTTAAATGGCAACTTAAATACATATTTCCATCTCTGATCTCCCACCCACTTAATTTCAAAAGGGGTGAAGGAACCTTCTTACCCCCTTTAGTAAGCACTTAGGTTCACTTTTTCCAAATACAACTACTCTGTTTAACACTTTGTAGAAAGTATTTCTTAAAGGATAATTCCAAATAGCAAGATGAAAAGAGAATACATTAATTATTAATACTAGAATGAGTGGTTATAAAATTAATTGATCATTTAGTATCAATGTCTTAAGTGGACCTTTAAAAATATTACAGGATGTTTATTTGTCGTTATTGTATGGAACAAAATAGAATGACTTTGAGAATGTATAAATCTGTTGTAGAGGGAAGGCAGGGTATTATTATTATTATTATTATAATCAAGGGGAAGCACTAAACCCGGAGGATTATACAGCTGGAAGGCAGGGTAAAGGTTGGCCTAGGAAAGGTTGGAAGGAGGGGGTAAAGGAGGTTTTGTGTATGAGGGGCTTGGACTTCCAGCAACCATGCATGAGCGTGTTAGATAGGAGCAAATGGAGACAAATGGTTTTTAGGGCTTGATGTGCTGTTGGAGTGTGAGCAAGGTAACATTTATGAAGGGATACAGGGAAACTGGCAGGCTGGACTTGAGTCCTGGAGATGGGAAGTATGTACAGTGCCTGCACTCTGAAGGAGGGGTGTAATTGTTCCGGTTTTATAACTGTAGTGTAAGCAGCACTGCCTCTGGCAAGACAGCATGGAGTGAATGATGCTGAAAGTTTTTCTTTTTTTGGGCCACCCTGCCTTGGTGGGAAACAGCCGATGTGTTAATAAAATAAAAAAAATAGATATGAATGTGGTAGATATTGACCCTATAACAAGCCAAACTGCTGGCTTACCTTTCAAACATAGTAGTCCCAGTGATTCGTTGTAATTCACACCTGTCATAAATCATGCCATATACTTCCATGACCACTAACTCAGTGTGTGAACAACTGGAAATTTCAGTCAGCTCTCTTATAAAGTTATCTTACAGTTCATTATTTTGAAATTGCAATTAAAAACAGTACATTCCAAACAGAATAGCGAATGACTAGGCCTTACCTGGAGTATACCTGTAGAGAGTTTTGGGGGTCAATGCCCCTGCGGCCTGGTCTGTGACCAGGCCTCATATTGGATCAGGGCCTAATCAACCAGGCCTTCACAATACGTGCTGCTCAATTTTCTCGTGGCACTTTTTCAACCAAATTTACTAAGTTACACTATATAGAGAAGCTTTATGAGAGGGATGACTAGTCAGTCTTCCTTCATGTTTGGAGCTTTGCCATGGAGTGAGAAACTGAGGCTACGAGGGAAAAAATAACAAGCAAACAGAATGTTGCTAAGATATGACTGTGTGGCTTTGCTTTATACAGGATCAGCAATGATTACTACAGGGACAGCCGCTATGGAGGGTGAGTCCTACTAGAGTAAGAGTTGATGTACTCTACGGTAAGTGTACTATGCCAGGGTGAGTAGCCTACACTCTACCAAACTTCATAACACACAACATGCAGTTTGTGGCAATTGATAATGTCACTAGGGACACTATCAGTTGAAATCGCTGGTGGTTGAAACGTCTTCTCAATAAAATGCCATAAACTTCATATTTTGTCTTACTAACGTATTTGTTGGTATATAATACCTGCTAAACATCTACACTACTACGATGACCCAGCCTTCAACCACCAATTCGTAAATACATATTTATAGTTACAACAGCAGAATTATGGTCATGATGTCCTGTCCTCTATAATTTTCTTCATGCTTTTTTTTAGAAAATTCAATGCTTGATACACTTATATTTTTTAACTATGTTAGGTTAGGAGGTTGAAGAGTTGGTCATTTTATATGCTTCAAGTTTCCCATGAAATACAACTGATGTAGATCTATGTTAAATACTTCATCAAAATTGTTACTATTTAATCCATCTTTTGTCTACTGTCTTTAGGTTAAATCTGTATATTTATTATGAAGGATTATTTCAGTAGGGGGTTATATTGTACCTGGAGAATGGAAGGTCACCACGTTTGAATCACGAGAGAGGGGTAACCCAAATGAACACCGTGAATTTATTGGATGCAGATTGTAAATAGGCGACTAAGAGCTTATATGTTTGGTGTTTTAAGCAATAATAGTGTGTCCGCTTGTCTGTATGATTATCTGTTGATTACTGCTACAGTACTATTACTACTACTACAGCCTCCTCAACTGTGTTTTATATCATGTGAATTACTGATTAATGATATGATTGTTTCTAAGATTGTGAAATAAAGTTTTTCTGTAAAGTGTATGGTAGAGTTATTATTGAAAGAATTAAGAGTAAGACTGAGAATAGGATAGCAGATGAACAAGGAGGCTTTAGGAAAGGTAGGGGCGTGTGTGGACCAGGTGTTTACAGTGAAACATATAAGTGAACAGTATTTAGATAAGGCTAAAGAGGTCTTTGTGGCATTTATGGATTTGGAAAAGGCGTATGACAGGGTAGTAGGTTGGTAGACAGCAACCACCTAGGGAAGTACTACCGTCCTGCCAGATGACTGTGAAACAGAAACCTGTAACTGTTTTACATGATGGTAGGATTGCTGGTTTCTTTTTCTGTCTCATAAACACGCTAGATAACAGGGATATCTTGCTACTCCTACTTACATTTTGGTCACACTTCACAGACACGCACATGCATATATATATACATACATCTAGGTTTTTCTCCTTTTTCTAAATAGCTCTTGTTCCTCTTTATTTCTTCTATTGTCCATGGGGAAGTGGAAAAGAATCTTTCCTCCGTAAGCCATGCGTGTCGTATGAGGCGACTAAAATGCCGGGAGCAATGGGCTAGTAACCCCTTCTCCTGTAGACATTTACTAAAAAAGAGAAGAAAAACTTTATAAAATTGGGATGCTTAAATGTGCGTGGATGTACTGCGGATGACAAGAAACAGATGATTGCTGATGTTATGAATGAAAAGAAGTTGGATGTCCTGGCCCTAAGCGAAACAAAGCTGAAGGGGTAGGGGAGTTTCAGTGGGGGGAAATAAATGGGATTAAATCTGGAGTATCTGAGAGAGTTAGAGCAAAGGAAGGGGTAGCAGTAATGTTGAATGATCAGTTATGGAAGGAGAAAAGAGAATATGAATGTGTAAATTCAAGAATTATGTGGATTAAAGTAACGGTTGGATGCGAGAAGTGAGTCATAATAAGCGTGTATGCACCTGGAGAAGAGAGGAATGCAGAGGAGAGAGAGAGATTTTGGGAGATGTTAAGTGAATGTATAGGAGCCTTTGAACCAAGTGAGAGAGTAATTGTGGTAGGGGACCTGAATGCTAAAGTAGGAGAAACTTTTAGAGAGGGTGTGGTAGGTAAGTTTGGGGTGCCAGGTGTAAATGATAATGGGAGCCCTTTGATTGAACTTTATATAGAAAGGGGTTTAGTTATAGGTAATACATATTTTAAGAAAAAGAGGATAAATAAGTATACAAAATATGATGTAGGGCAAAATGACAGTAGTTTGTTGGATTATGTATTGGTAGATAAAAGACTGTTGAGTAGACTTCAGGATGTACATGTTTATAGAGGGGCCACAGATATATCAGATCACTTTCTAGTTGTAGCTACATTGAGAGTAAAAGGTAGATGGGATACAAGGAGAATAGAAGCATCAGGGAAGAGAGAAGTGAAGGTTTATAAACTAAAAGAGGAGGCAGTTAGGGTAAGATATAAACAGCTATTGGAGGATAGATGGGCTAATGAGAGCATAGGTAATGGGGTTGAAGAGGTATGGGATAGGTTTAAAAATGTAGTGTTAGAGTGTTCAGCAGAAGTTTGTGGTTACAGGAAAGTGGGTGCGGGAGGGAAGAGGAGCGATTGGTGGAATGATGATGTGAAGAGAGTAGTAAGGGAGAAAAAGTTAGCATATGAGAAGTTTTTACAAAGTAGAAGTGATGCAAGGAGGGAAGAGTATATGGAGAAAAAGAGAGAGGTTAAGAGAGTGGTGAAGCAATGTAAAAAAAGAGAGCAAATGAGAGAGTGGGTGAGATGTTATCAACAAATTTTGTTGAAAATAAGAAAAAGTTTTGGAGTGAGATTAACAAGTTAAGAAAGCCTAGAGAACAAATGGATTTGTCAGTTAAAAATAGGAGAGGAGAGTTATTAAATGGAGAGTTAGAGGTATTGGGAAGATGGAGGGAATATTTTGAGGAATTGTTAAATGTTGATGAAGATAGGAAGCTGTGATTTCGTGTATAGGGCAAGGAGGAACAACATCTTGTAGGAGTGAGGAAGAGCCAATTGTGAGTGTGGGGAAGTTCGTGAGGCAGTAGGTAAAATGAAAGGGGGTAAGGCAGCCGGGATTGATGGGATAAAGATAGAAATGTTAAAAGCAGGTGGGGATATAGTTTTGGAGTGGTTTGTGCAATTATTTAATAAATGTATGGAAGAGGGTAAGGTACCTAGGGATTGGCAGAGAGCATGTATAGTTCCTTTGTATAAAGGCAAAGGGGATAAAAGAGAGTGCAAAAATTATAGGGGATAAGTCTGTGAGTATACCTGGCAAAGTGTATGGTAGAGTTATTATTGAAAGAATTAAGAGTAAGACGGAGAATAGGATAGCAGATGAACAAGGAGGCTTTAGGAAAGGTAGGGGTGTGTGGACCAGGTGTTTACAGTGAAACATATAAGTGAACAGTATTTAGATAAGGCTAAAGAGGTCTTTGTGGCATTTATGGATTTGGAAAAGGTGTATGACAGGGTGGATAGGGGGGCAATGTGGCAGATGTTGCAGGTGTATGGTGTAGGAGGTAGGTTACTGAAAGCAGTGAAGAGTTTTTACGAGGATAGTGAGGCTCAAGTTAGAGTACATAGGAAAGAGGGAAATTATTTCCCAGTAAAAGTAGGCCTAAGACAAGGATGTGTGATGTCACCGTGGTTGTTTAATATATTTATAGATGGGGTTGCAAGAGAAGTAAATGCGAGGGTCTTGACAAGAGGCGTGGAGTTAAAAGATAAAGAATCACACATAAAGTGGGAGTTGTCACAGTTGCTCTTTGCTGATGACACTGTGCCTTGGGAGATTCTGAAGAGAAGTTGCAGAGATTGGTGGATGAATTTGGTAGGGTGTGCAAAAGAAGAAAATTAAAAGTGAATACAGGAAAGAGTAAGGTTATGAGGATAAAAATATTAGGTGATGAAAGATTGGATATCAGATTGGAGGGAGAGAGTATGGAGGAGGTGAATGTATTCAGATATTTGGGAGTGGACGTGTCAGCGGATGGGTCTATGAAGGATGAGGTGAATCATAGAACTGATGAGGGGAAAAGGGTGAGTGGTGCACTTAGGAGTCTGTGGAGACAAAGAACTTTGTCCTTGGAGGCAAAGAGGGGAATGTATGAGAGTATAGTTTTACCAACACTCTTATATGGGTGTGAAGCATGGGTGATGATGTTGCAGCGAGGAGAAGGCTGGAGGCAGTGGAGATGTCATGTCTGAGGGCAATGTGTGGTGTGAATATAATGCAGAGAATTCATAGTTTGGAAGTTAGGAGGAGGTGCGGGATTACCAAAACTGTTGTCCAGAGGGCTGAGGAAGGGTTGTTGAGGTGGTTTGGACATGTAGAGAGAATGAAGCGAAACAGAATGACTTCAAGAGTGTATCAGTCTGTAGTGGAAGGAAGGCGGGGTAGGGGTCGGCCTAGGAAAGGTTGGAGGGAGGGGGTAAAGGAGGTTTTGTGTGCGAGAGGCTTGGACTTCCAGCAGGCGTGCGTGAGCGTGTTTGATAGGAGTGAATGGAGACGAATGGTTTTTAATACTTGACGTGCTGTTGGAGTGTGAGCAAAGTAACATTTATGAAGGGGTTCAGGGAAACCGGCAGGCCGGACTTGAGTCCTGGAGATGGGAAGTACAGTGCCTGCACTCTGAAGGAGGGGTGTTAATGTTGCAGTTTAAAAACTGTAGTGTAAAGCACCCTTCTGGCAAGACAGTGATGGAGTGAATGATAGTGAAAGTTTTTCTTTTTCGGGACACCCTGCCTTGGTGGGAATCGGCCAGTGTGATAATAAAAAAATAATAATAAATATTATTATTATATTTTTTAAGTACAAACAGTAGTGTGCATTACAGTGTCAACTTTTTTCTGTGAAATCACCAAACTTTCTCACGATTTTCATTCACTGTCAAAGTCAGTGAATGAAATTTCATTCACTGGCAGTCAGTGATAGAGAACAGAGAAAGAATTTGTATAACAATGTTGTGTGAGACAAGTTACATTATCACATTATTGATGGTATGTAATGCAGACTAGTTAATGAATAAGACATCTGTGCAAAACTTGGATATACTGATTGCAGAAATGTTTTGCCTGTGCAACAGACTTCTTCAGTTGTATACATGTCAATATGGCACTGGAGATGCTAATAGTTTTGAGATGATTAGTCTCTTATTCCCTAGCAAGGCTGAGGGACTCCTACTGCCTCCAGTGCCATACTCTCTTGTATTCAAGTAATGAAATAGTTTTAAGGTAATCAGTCCTTACCATGACCAATAGACTCCTTTTGTCTCCAGTGCTATATTCTCCTGTATTCGACTGATGAAATAGTTTTGAGGTGGTCAGTCCCCATTCTCTTCCAAGGTTAAGTGACTGATCACCTCAAAATTACCATTTTAGTGTCTCCAGGGTTACAATCTCCTCTGTTTGACTAAAGAAGCCTGTTGCACAGGCGAAACATTTTCTCAGTAAAGATACCCCAGTGTTGCACATATGTCTTATTTATCAAGTTACTTTGAATTGATGTAGCTGATAATAAAACATTGCTGCTTGCAGACCTGCACCTCCTCCCCGGCCACTCAGGCAGGACACCCGTAACTCAGGCTACTACTGACCTGCGCCATAGCCTACTTCAAGGTACTAATATACAACCCAGATTGTTTTCATCATTATTAAAACAAGAACAGAGTACAGTGGACCCCCGGTTAACGATATTTTTTCACTCCAGAAGTATGTTCAGGTGACAGTAGTGACCGAATTTGTTCCCATAAGGAATATTGTGAAGTAGATTAGTCCATTTCAGACCCCAAAACTTACACGTACAAACGCACTTACATAAATACACTTACATAATTGGTCGCATTTGGAGGTGATCGTTATGCGGGGGTCCACTGTATTATTATTATAACTATGTGCTGAACCCACTAGGGTTCAGCACTTAGTTATTATTATTATAATCAAAACCAGGCTCTAAAGCCACAAGGGTCACACAGCACTGGAACAGAGGGGTAAAAATGGTGGACACAGCTAGAGATCCTTCTTCTTTAGCCTAACTTGACACTGCAGTGTACTTCACATCATTATTGTTTATGGGTACATGTTAATTAAACTCATGAAGGCCATGCAGTTCCTGGGGTATGGGAGGCAATCATGTTTGATTCCAGGAAGGGGAAAGATTGATCCAATTTCCTGGATCTAGAACCCCCTCACTGGCATGAAGGAACTTGACAGTGAGGATGCTGTGCCCATAAAGACAACCAGAAACATCTAGTTTTGCATAAATTTGTGAGTTCATTATGAATTGTTACACCTTCAGTAGGTTAGTCATTCTCAATGTACAGGATGTTTCACTCATAGGAGACCCATAATTGGAACCGTCTTGTTTATATATTATGCCTGTAGTAAACAATAACTCGGGGCCTCCTATGAGCGAGTCACCCTACTTAACATTCCAGGGTTAATAATCTGATTAAATTTTCATTTTTCAAGCATTCACTAACCAGCCCAGTTACATAGTTACAGCAGTAACCAATGTGTACATTGTTAAGCCATAATGGCTTGACAAGGTATTAGAAGCATGAGGAACCCATAAACCCACAGAGGTTATACAATGTCTGTAGAATGAGAGGAAATCAAGTTTGATCCAGGGAAGAGTTTAGTTACAATTTCTTGTATAAAGAGCCCTTCACCATATCAACACACCCTCCATTAGAATTGCTGGAAGCCCTAAGCCAGCCTCTTTCTCTGGAAACAGAGTAAATTAACATAATTTTTCTTTTACTTTCAGACTGGTTACACCATTTTAGTTTCAAGTTGGCTCAGGTGTTTTTTGTTATACCATTTTACAATACAAATATGAAGTCAAATTTTTATTTCGAAATTACTGCACAAAACGTACAATAATGTCGAGGCCCCAAGTTGATGAATATGTCCCATGTGATATTAAAGGCTTAGAAAACCAACAAGTTGAAGAATGAGATGTTTGTACAACATTTGGGAATCTTTATTGAGGAATGTTTCATAAGCCAGTGACTTCTTCAGTCCAATACAGATTCCCAAATGTTGCACAAGTGTCTTCAGCAAGTCACATATGCAACAGTTTGGTAGCTTTTACTGGGCAAAACATTCCATTAATATAGCTAGAAACTGCTGCACGTGTGTCTTATTGACCTACGTGCGTTTTAGTCATCTGGTCACCAGGGATGATGACCCAACTTATCCAGGTTCCTGACTATATTGGGCAGATAAGTCTATATGTTCCTGGTATTCAATCTGCTGACAATAATCTTACAATAAAAAGTACATTGCTTTTATAATATTAAAAGAGAAGTGATAAACCTGAATAAACCTCAAAACGTCTAAAAATGTTATTTTGTCCTCAATCTAGAATGTTATATTAATATTAGTGTGTAAAGTGGATCATGCATAGTACCACAAGTACATTATGTAATTTATTTATATGTTTAAAAAAGTCAAGGTAATGTATATAAATACGTATAGAGTGGCTTATTATAACATTAATGTTTCTTAACCCTTAAATGGTCCAAACGTATATATACGTTTTTTCAACATCTGAAAGTATGTAAAAAAATGTAGATCTTCTTTTTGGCTTTACATGTGAAAACGTGTAAAAAAACTTTTATCTACCTTTTATTTTTTTTTTTTTTTTTTTTTTTTTTTTTCAACAAGTCGGTCGTCTCCCACCGAGGCAGGTGACCCAAAAAAAAAGAAAGAAAATCCCCAAAAAGAAAATACTTTCATCATCATTCAACACTTTCACCACACTCACACATTATCACTGTTTTTGCAGAGGTGCTCAGAATACAACAGTTTAGAAGCATATACGTATAAAGATACACAACATATCCCTCCAAACTGCCAATATCCCAAACCCCTCCTTTAAAGTGCAGGCATTGTACTTCCCATTTCCAGGACTCAAGTCCGACTATATGAACACGCTCACGCACGCTTGCTGGAAGTCCAAGCTCCTTGCCCACAAAACCTCCTTTACCCCCTCTCTCCAACCCTTTCGAGGACGACCCCTACCCCGCCTTCCTTCCCCTATAGATTTATATACTTTCCATGTCATTCTACTTTGATCCATTCTCTCTAAATGACCAAACCACCTCAACAACCCCTCTTCTGCCCTCTGACTAATACTTTTATAACTCCACACCTTCTCCTAATTTCCACACTCCGAATTTTCTGCATAATATTTACACCACACATTGCCCTTAAACAGGACTTTCTCCACTGCCTCCAACCGTCTCCTCGCTGCTGCATTTACCACCCAAGCTTCACACCCATATAAGAGTGTTGGTACTACTATACTTTCATACATTCCCTTCTTTGCCTCCATAGATAACGTTTTTTGACTCCACAAAAATACCTCAACGCACCACTCACCTTTTTTCCCTCATCAATTCTATGATTAACCTCATCCTTCATAAATCCATCCGCCGACACGTCAACTCCCAAGTATCTGAAAACATTCACTTCTTCCATACTCCTCCTCCCCAATTTGATATCCAATTTTTCTTTATCTAAATCATTTGACACTCTCATCACCTTACTCTTTTCTATGTTCACTTTCAACTTTCTACCTTTACACACATTCCCAAACTCATCCACTAACCTTTGCAATTTTTCTTTAGAATCTCCCATAAGCACAGTATCATCAGCAAAAAGTAACTGTGTCAATTCCATTTTGAATTTGATTCCCCAAAAATTTAATCCCACCCCTCTCCCGAACACCCTAGCATTTACTTCCTTTACAACCCCACTATAAATATATTAAACAACCATGGTGACATTACACATCCCTGTCTAAGACCTACTTTTACCGGGAAGTAGTCTCCCTCTCTTCTACACACCCTAACCTGAGCCTCACTATCCTCATAAAAACTCTTTACAGCATTTAATAACTTACCACCTATTCCATATACTTGCAACATCTGCCACATTGCTCCTCTATCCACTCTATCATATGCCTTTTCTAAATCCATAAATGCATAAAAAACTTCCTACCTTTATCTAAATACTGTTCACATATATGCTTCAATGTAAACACTTGATCTACACATCCCCTACCCACTCTGAAACCTCCTTGCTCATCCGCAATCCTCCATTCTGTCTTACCTCTAATTCTTTCAATTATAACCCTACCGTACACTTTTCCTGGTATACTCAGTAAGCTTATTCCTCTATAATTTTTACAGTCTCTTTTGTCCCCTTTCCCTTTATATAAAGGGACTATACATGCTCTCTGCCAATCCCTAGGTACCTTCCCCTCTTTCATACATTTATTAAACAGAAGTACCAACCACTCCAACACTATATCCCCCCCTGCTTTAACATTTCTGTCATGATCCCATCAGTTCCAGCTGCTTTACCCCTTTCATTTTACGTAATGCCTCACGTACCTCCACCACACTTACATTCTGCTCTTCTTCACTCCTAAAAGATGGTATACCCCTGACCATGCATGAAATTACTGCCTCTGTTTCTTCCTTAACATTTAAAAGTTCCTCAAAATATTCTCGCCATCTACCTAATACCTCCATCTCCCCATCTACTAACTCCCCTACTCTGTTTTTAACTGACAAATCCATTTTTTTCCCTAGGCTTTCTTAACTTGTTTAACTCGCTCCAAAATTTTTTCTTATTTTCATTAAAATTTCTTGACAGTGCCTCTCCCACTCTATCATCTGCTCTCCTTTTGCACTCTCTCACCACTCTCTTTACCTTTCTTTTACTCTCCATATACTCTGCTCTTCTTATAACACTTCTGCTTTGTAAAAACCTCTCATAAGCTACCTTTTTTCTTTTATCACACCCTTTACTTCATCATTCCACCAATCAACTCCTCTTTCCTCCTGCCCCCACCCTCCTATAACCACAAACTTCTGCCCCACATTCTAATACTGCATTTTTAAAACTATTCCAACCCTCTTCAACCCCCCCCACTACTCATTTTGCACTAGCCCACCTTTCTGCCAATAGTCGCTTATATCTCACCCGAACTTCCTCCTCCCTTAGTTTATACACTTTCACCTCCCTCTTACTTGTTGCCACCTTCCTCTTTTCCCATCTACCTCTTACTCTAACTGTAGCTACAACTAAATAATGATCCGATATATCAGTTGCCCCTCTATAAACATGTACATCCTGGAGCCTACCCATCAACCTTTTATCCACCAATACATAATCTAATAAACTACTTTCATTACGTGCTACATCATACCTTGTATATTTATTTATCCTCTTTTTCATAAAATATGTATTACTTATTACCAAATTTCTTTCTACACATAGCTCAATTAAAGGCTCCCCATTTACATTTACCCCTGGCACTCCAAATTTACCTACTACTCCCTCCATAACATTTTTACCCACTTTAGCATTGAAATCCCCAACCACCATTACTCTCACACTTGATTCAAAACTCCCCACGCATTCACTCAACATTTCCCAAAATCTCTCTCTATGTTATATTTGAAAATATGTAAAAAAAAAGTAGATCTACTTTTGTAGCTACGAATTTGAACGTCGATCTGTTTGGACCGTTTAAGGGTTAAAGGGGTGGAGGGGTAAACTTGTGGGAGGGCTCAGTCAGATGACCAAGAGCTCCAGTGGTGGAACATTACATGACTAAGACCCATGTCAGGAAACACATGTCCTTTTTCCTGACAAATCTTACCTTAGCCTATTAAAACTATCTACGACTAAAATGGGACGTCGGAAAGTAGAGACCTACGTCAGGACATTATCCTGACATGGGTTAGGTAAGATTGGTCAAGAAACAGGTCAATTGTTTCCTGACGTGGGTCTTAGCCATATAATCACCTGCCACTGGAGCTTATGGTCATCTGACTGAGGCCTTCCACTGGCTTACCACTCCACCCCTTGAAAAAATAATTTGATTATCTAACCTGAAGAATTAAAACTCTACTTAATAATTCTGATTATGACTATTGTACTGTATATAATTTAATAGTTCACGCATTAACCCTTTGACTGTCGCGGCCGTATATATACGTTTTACGAGGTGCCGTGTTTGACGTATATATACTCATAAATTCTAGTGGCTTCAAATCAAGCAGGAGAAAGCTGGTAGGCCCACATGTGAGAGAATGGGTCTGTGTGGTCAGTGTGCACCATATAAAAAAAATCCTGGAGCACGCAGTGCATGACAAAAAAAAACTCCGACCGTTTTTTTTAATTAAAATGCCGACTTTGTGGTCTATTTTCGTATAGTATTTATGGTTGTATTCTCGTTTTCTTGGTCTCATTTGATAGAATGGAAAACATATTACAGAAATAGAGGTGTTTTTGATTGATTTTACTATAAAAAGAACCTAGAAATGGAGCTCAAATAGGGGGAAAGTTGATTTTACCAATGTTCAAAAGTAAACAAATGATGCCATTGTCCAATAATGTCCAACTAGCCATTCTAATATGCAGTCATAAAGGGTTGATGTTATTTATACAGTTATTACAGCATTGCAGTAGTCTGCATAATAGTAAGTCTAATATTTTTTGTTTGAATAAAATTCAAAATAGAAAGCAAGAGTAATATCAGAGGGGCCCGGAGACGTGACTGGGTAAACAAGAAACGGTATTAGAGCGGAATGTCGCATGTTTGGACTTATTTTGAAATTGCATATTTTAGTTTTCGTGAAATTGGGCCAAATTGCAAATTTGACCACAATTAGGTAGTTGAAATCAGAAATGGGCAATTTCTTGTACTCAATCGATAGAAAAAATGAAGTTCTAAAGAAATAGCTATGAGTTTGGGCGACTGGAACAATGAAATTACCCGAAAATGGGGCCAAAGTGGGCAAAATCGCCGTTTTGTAAACGCCCCGAGGTCGCTAATTTTCGCGAGAGAAAATTTTTCCGTCATTTTCCATAAATTTTTCGTTTTTTTGGTGTCATTACAATGGGGAAAAGTTTCCCTACTTTTCATAAGAAAAAATTTTTTTTTTTTTTTTTAAATTTGCGAACCAGGGACACTCAGTTGGGGGGGTTCGACGTAAAAGGGGTTAATTAATGAAAAAATAGCGATAAATTATTAAAGGAATTAATATGACAACTGAAAAATATGAAAAAAAATTAATATAAAGAAAAATAATACCCTCCTAACCATATAGGTTTTGTGGTCAAAATATTCCTAAAATATGAAATTACCTATCTTTTTTTTATTATTTTAATATTTTTAAAAAAAAATATGAAAAAATTGATAGTTACCCCCCAAAAAATTTTGTTTTTAAAAATAAAAAAAAAACTTTTCCCCTGAAAAATTTTGGTAGTCCCTTTCCCCAAAAATTTATGTTAATATTTATACAACAAATATCAAAATTTTGCGTATGAAAAAAAGCATAGGTGGTTTGACACTTTTTTTCACCTAAAGGGTGCCAAGTGAGCCATGAGGGGCAAAAAATGTTCATTTAAATTTTTCTTCATGCACCCATACACATCCTGTGACAGTAGCAAAATTACAGAGGTGCATGGGGGTCCAGGAACTGTATTTTAACAGGGTCTAACTTGTTTAGTTTGTAAAAACGGGACTTTATTTAAAGCAAGTGACCAGCCACAACTTTGGGGGGAAATGGACACCAGTCCATTCCTTTTTCACCTTTATTGAAAGTGTTTTGGTCTATGAAAACTGAGCTTTAAAGACCGAAATGTTTTTAGAAAGGGTCCATTGAACATTGTAACTCTTTATGTCAACCTGTGACCTTGGGATGTGGGGCCCCCTCTACCTGTCATGTGTAGTCCTCTGACCTGTCATGTGGGGTCCCCTGACCTTCATGTTGGTCCTCTGACCTTCAATGTGGTCCTCTTTTGACCTTTCCAACTGTTTCCCTTTTCTGTTATCAATAAACCCTACGTACATTATGGTGCAATTAATTGAAATTAAAAATTTTTCCCAAAATTTCCTTTGGGTTTTTCAGACAAGCTTTATAATGTAAGAAAAAAAATGATATTCATAAAATGTTTTTTAAATAAACCCCTTTAATTTAAATTTTTAAGCGGGAAAATTGCATTAAACAACTTTATTTTCATTTTTTTTTTAAAAATTTTATTATAAAACAACTAAGATATACCATGGAAACCGGTTTTTAAATTTAATTCATTCCAATGTTGATTTGACAAACAAAAATCAAAACCAAAACAAATTTTTTCCCCTAAAATGATGTTTAATAGAATTAGCCAATCCAACCCCAAATGACTATAATAACACATAAAATTACACTATGTATATAAAACAATTTTTTAAAAAAATCAGACAGGGGAAACTTAAAAAAAAGAAGCAAATGAAAATTTAAATGTCCCTTTCCCGCAAGGAAGCTAAGTTTTTCTTTTTCCTTTTAACCACAACACCTTCTTTGTCACTAAAAACCTTTCCAATGAAGTTTGTTTTAGGCTCCGTTTTAACACTTGTCTAAATTGAGACATTACAATGTCGTTGTACATGTTAGAGAGATGGATGGCTACTGCTTTGTCTGGATGGTATTTTTAAGCAAACTCCTGCACTTCATGCCATTTAGCACACATTTCCTTGACAAGTGCAATGGGCACATCATCCCTTCCCTCCTCTTCCTCTGATGACAGCCCCTCTGCTGCAATCTGTTGCTGCTCCTTCTGAAGGTCTAGAAGTTCTTCTGTGGTGAGTTCGGTTCCATGCTCCTCCACCAACTCCACATCTTCAGTCACCTCTAGGCCCAAGTCTTCCCCAGGGACACAATATCCTCTACTGGCTCAGGCTCATCTTCAAAGCCTTGAAAATCCCTGGCTGTCACAAAGTCAGGCCACAATTTCTTTCATGCTGACTGCATGGTCCTGGAAGACATTCCCCAAGGCCTTGCCTACAAGCCTCAAGCAGGTGAGGATATTAAAATGGTCCTTCCAGAACTCCCTAAGGGTTAAACTTGTTTCTGAAGTGACTTCAAAGTGCTTTGTAACAAGCTCAAACAAGGAAATGTAATTATATTAAGAATTTCCAAATGACAGTGTCGGGCTTCCCAGATATTACCGCTATACAGTCTGTATGATCCATCTTATTAAGAGTACAAAAACAATGGGCTGAGATTCTTCCTCGATCACAAGATTAAATACAAATATACATGAAGCATCAAGGAAAAGTGTGAAAGTGATTCAGAACCTCCCTCCATACTGCCACAGGAAAGTCATCAAAATAATACACAGCCTTCTGCCTTACTGCCATCAAAGAGGAATGAAGATCCCATAGAATCTTTCCTCAGACTGCCACAAGTCATGAAAATAACACAGAATCTTCACTGTCTGCCACAGAAGAGACATAAAGATCACACACAATTTACCTACATACCACCACAGAAGAGGTGAAAACTTCATACGACACTGCCCTCAAAAATGCCACAGGAAAGACTGAAATGCATTGTCCAGGTGGTTCCAAAAAAAAATTATTTTTCTATGAAAGCAAGAAAATTGCTGCATTGAGCATCCTGTCAAGTACAGACAGGAAGCAAGTCTGTATCACATTCAGCAGATGAAGGATCAGCCCTCCACCATGTCTTGCACTGATCCACATGGGTTTAGCACTTAACATTATTTAAAAATAAAAAATAATAGTGTATGTAGAAAAACGGTTCAAAGAACCGGCAAGTTGATGACTGAGACACTTGTGTAACACTTGGGTATCTCTGTGGCAACATTCTGCCAGCAAGTGACTTCCTCAGTCCAATACAGAGATTTTTTTTTTTTTTTTTTTTTCAACAAGTTGGTCGTCTCCCACCGAGGCAGGGTGACCCAAAAAAGAAAGAAAATCCCCAAAAAGAAAATACTTTCATCATCATTCAACACTTTCACCACACTCACACATTATCACTGCTTTTGCAGAGGTGCTCAGAATATAACAGTTTAGAAGCATATACGTATAAAGATACACAACATATCCCTCCAAACTGCCAATATCCCAAACCCCTCCTTTAAAGTGCAGGCATTGTACTTCCCATTTCCAGGACTCAAGTCCGACTATAAGAAAATAGCCGGTTTCCCTGAATCCCTTCACTAAATATTACCCTGCTCACACTCCAACAGATCGTCAGGTCCCAAGTATCATTCGTCTCCATTCACTCCATTCACTCCAAGCATGCACGCTCATGCATGCTTGCTGGAAGTCCAAGCCCCTCGCCCACAAAACCTCCTTTACCCCCTCTTTCCAACCCTTTCGAGGACGACCCCTACCCCTCTTTCCTTCCCCTATAGATTTATATGCTTTCCATGTCATTCTACTTTGATCCATTCTCTCTAAATGACAGAGATGAATACAGAGATGAATACAGAGATGAATGGTTTAAATTCAAACAATCACAAATGATTTGTTACAGTTTATTAACAGCCTTCAAACCTGACACTCACTGATTATAAGTTTCGCTTAAACAAGCCATTAAACTACGTATTATTCAATGCACAAACGTACAGCAGACATACCCACTCATCTGTGAAGAAACAAAAGTAAATATTCAGTGTGAGTTGCACTTGGGATGTAAAACAGTTTGTTTACATATACAGTGGACCCCCGACTAACGATATTATTTCAATCCAGAAGTCTGTTCGGGTGCCGTTATAGACCGAATTTGGTCCCATAAGGGGGTAAGGCAGCCGGTATTGATGGGATAAAGATAGAAATGTTAAAAGCAGGTGGGGATATAGTTTTGGAGTGGTTGGTGCAATTATTTAATAAATGTATGGAAGAGGGTAAGGTACCTAGGGATTGGCAGAGAGCATGCATAGTTCCTTTGTATAAAGGCAAAGGGGATAAAAGAGAGTGCAAAAATTATAGGGGGATAAGTCTGCTGAGTATACCTGGTAAAGTGTATGGTAGAGTTATTATGAAAAATTAAGAGTAAGATGGAGAATAGTATAGCAGATGAACAAGGAAGGCTTAGGAAAGGTAGGGGGTGGTGGACCAGGTGTTTACAGTGAAACATATAAGTGAACAGTATTTAGATAAGGCTAAAGAGGTCTTTGTGCATTATGGTTGGAAAAGGCTATGACAGGGTGGATAGGGGGGCATGTGGCAGATGTTGCAAGTGTATGGTGTAGGAGGTAGGTTACTGAAAGCAGTGAAGAGTTTTTACGAGGATAGTGAGGCTCAAGTTAGAGTATGTAGGAAAGAGGGAAATTATTTCCCAGTAAAAGTAGGCCTTAGACAAGGATGTGTGATGTCACCGTGGTTGTTTAATATATTTATAGATGGGGTTGTAAGAGAAGTAAATGCGAGGGTCTTGACAAGAGGCGTGGAGTTAAAAGATAAAGAATCACACACAAAGTGGGAGTTGTCACAGCTGCTCTTTGCTGATGACACTGTGCTCTTGGGAGATTCTGAAGAGAAGTTGCAGAGATTGGTGATGAATTCGGTAGGGTGTGCAAAAGAAGAAAATTAAAGGTGAATACAGGAAAGAGTAAGGTTATGAGGATAACAAAAAGATTAGGTGATGAAAGATTGAATATCAGATTGGAGGGAGAGAGTATGGAGGAGGTGAATGTATTCAGATATTTGGGAGTGGATGTGTCAGGGATGGGTCTATGAAAGATGAGGTGAATCATAGAATTGATGAGGATAAAAGAGTGAGTGGTGCACTTAGGAGTCTGTGGAGACAAAGAACTTTGTCCTTGGAGGCAAAGAGGGGAATGTATGAGAGTATAGTTTTACCAACGCTCTTATATGGGTGTGAAGCATGGGTGATGAATGTTGCAGCGAGAAGGCTGGAGGCAGTGGAGATGTCATGTCTGGGCAATGTGTGGTGTGAATATAATGCAGAGAATTCGTAGTTTGGAAGTTAGGAGGAGGTGCGGGATTACCAAAACTGTTGTCCAGAGGCTGAGGAAGGGTTGTTGAGGTGGTTCGGACATGTAGAGAGAATGGAGCAAAACAGAATGACTTCAAGAGTGTATCAGTCTGTAGTGGAAGGAAGGCGGGGTAGGGGTCGGCCTAGGAAAGGTTGGAGAGAGGGGGTAAAGGAGGTTTTGTGTGCGAGGGGCTTGGACTTCCAGCAGGTATGCATGAGCGTGTTTGATAGGAGTGAATGGAGACAAATGGTTTTTAATACTTGACGTGCTGTTGGAGTGTGAGCAAAGTAACATTTATGAAGGGGTTCAGGGAAACCGGCAGGCCGGACTTGAGTCCTGGAGATGGGAAGTACAGTGCCTGCACTCTGAAGGAGGGGTGTTAATGTTGCAGTTTAAAAACTGTAGTGTAAAGCACCCTTCTGGCAAGACAGTGATGGAGTGAATGATGGTGAAAGTTTTTCTTTTTCGGGCCACCCTGCCTTGGTGGGAATCGGCCAGTGTGATAATAATAATAAGGAATACTGTGAATTAGATTAGTCCGTTTCAGACCCCCAAAAATACACCTACAAAAGCACTTACAAAAATACACTTACATAATTGGTCGAGTTGGGAGCTCATCGTTAGTCGGGGGTCCACTGTATATGGGTTCTTCTTTCTTTTTGGGCCACTCTGCCTCGGTGAGAAACGGTCGTGTTAAAAAAAATATAGGTAGTCTTCGGAGGGACTATAAACCATTTCTTAATCGAATATTAGAAAATCAACTTCATAAGCCTCCTTAAAGAAGTACATGTTTTGCAATACCTATAATTGAAAAAAAAAAATACAGTAGAGACGGACCCATGCATCTGTGCATAGTGGACCCTCGACTAACGATCAGCTCCCAACTCGACCAGTTATGTAAGTGTATTTTTGTAAGTGATTTTGTACGTGAATTTTTGGGGGTCTGAAACGGACTAATCTATTTCACAGTATTCCTTATGGGAACAAATTCGGTCGGTAACGGCACCCGAACAGACGTCTGAAATGAAATAATATTGTTAGTTGAGGGTCCACTGTATTTGGTTTCTGTGGTTTCAGGTTTCCATGGTTAACCATGGCCTGAAAATAACCCTTAATTTTACTTAATAATGGTCAGAGAGCACAAAAGTAGTGATGGTGTCAGTTCTTCAAAGCTTAAGAGAAGCCCTGAAGTGTTTCCCATCGGTGAACAAGTGTTAATTCTCCACTTATTGTGTATATTTATCAATTAAACTTTATCGTAAATATGTAAACAAAAAATGACTCGTACACGGTTTGCTACTATCCACAGTTTCGGGTATCCATGGTAGGTCTTGGAAAGTATCCCCTGCAGCTATGGGGGGGGGGCTACTGTACTTACTATAGACAGTAATAAAGGTAATAAAATCCTTGGAAACATAAGTAAAAATGGGTAAAATACTCTGAAATAAAAAAACTATCCAATAATTCAGTTTCTAAACATCAAAATACTATACACTGTAACCTTGTAATTTGTGGGGTTAGGTTCACAAACCAACGTACGAATTCCACACAGACACTGGCCCTGGCTGGGGATTTTTTCTCGTTAATGTGGTAACAAAACTATATTGAACAAAACGATGTTAAGTGAGAAATTACTGCATATGAGCGTGTTTGCAGATGCAAAATAAGTACTGTTCAGTAATAAAACTAATTAATTTCTACATGGAAATTAGGACGTGAAACGGCAGATGGATGACAGAATTTAACCCTTAAACTGTCCAAACGCAGATCTACATTCGCTCAGGTACAGCTCCGAATGTAGATCTACATTTTTTTTACATGCTTTCAAATGGAGCAAATCAAGGTCGGAGTGCTACGCACACAAACATAGATCTACGTTCGGACAGTTTAAGGGTTAAAATATAAAAAAAACCAACATACTGGAAATGGGAAAAAGTGAAACAAAGTCACATAAAAAATACTGATTATGCAATTAAACAGTGAAATAATTTTGAAGAAAAAAAAGATAATCTAGGGTATTAGTTATTATATACAGTAAATATAGGATAATCATCATAAATCACATTAATGAAGTACATACTATACTACAGAGAAATTTATTTGCTATTCTGGCAAACTTCAAAATAGCCTTCAGAGACTGCATATAAAAATATAACTGATATATTTACTTACAAAAATAATATATTTATGGAGAATTTGGGCTCAAGGGATCAAATCCAACAAAATCATTAGCAGTCTTCACTCCAACAATGAAGAAGAGGACACTCTTCACCAAAGACCTACAAGGAGAAGTAAATTATCAGCATCCGATTATAACGTACTTTGGTGGCCCGGTGGCCTGGTGGCTAAAGCTCCCGCTTCACACACAGAGGGCCCGGGTTTGATTCCCGGTGGGTGGAAACATTTCAACATGTTTCCTTACACCTGCTGTCCTGTGTCACCTAGCAGCAAATAGGTACCTGGGTGTTTGTCGACTGGTGTGGGTCGCATCCTGGGGGACAAGATTGAGGACCCCAATGGAAATAAGTTAGACAGTCCTCGATGACACACTGATTTTCTTGGGTTATCCTGGGTGGCTAACCCTCCGGGGTTAAAAATCCGACTGAAATCTTATCTTATCTCTTATCTCTCAACACAAGTGTAATTAACACTGGTAACTGCCACACATAATAATAATGGTAATAATAATCTTTATTTCTATAAGTACATGTACCACATATACAGACCATAGCTGACATCAATGACATACATACTACTATATAGAAAGCCCCTTATTGTACAGAGCATTTTGGGCAAATTAAGTCAATTTTGTCTCCAGGATGCAACCCACACCAGTCAGGTAACACTCAGGTACCTATTTTACTGCTAGGTGAACATGGACAGCAGGTGTCTTAAGGAAACACGTCTTAACATTTCCAGCCATACCAGGGATCAAATCACGAACCTCAACATGTGAGCTGAGTGCGCTACCAATCGAGCATCAGGACACCTCTGTTCTCTCTGACATTCCTGGGTCACCAATCAGCCTGCAGAAATCTCCAGTATTTTCATACTAGGAAGAGTTCACTTATATATATAAATTTAGGAATTATCAGCAAGCACTGCCTAATATAACCTTACCTAAGCCTAAATTATGTTGTTGGATAAGTTGAAATTATATTTGAACAGTGTAACCAAGCCTGCACTGGGATAATCTGCTAACGTCTGTGATCTGAAGTTAAATTCTAAGGAAGAGATCACAATACAATACATGACTGCAAATATGTAAAAATATGTAAAAATACATACAGTGGTACCTCGAGTTTCAAACAGCTCCCAACTCGAACAATTATATAAGTGTATTTTTGTAAGTGCTTTTGTAAATGTATTTTTGGTGGTCTGAAATGGACTAATCTAATTTACATTGTTCTTTATGGGAACAAATTTGATCTGTATCGGCACTTGAAGTCTTTTGGAACGAATTAAGTTCGTATCTCGTGGTACCACTGTGCTACAGTAAATAGATTTAACCTTGGCTAACCTAATACGTATTGTCAAGCAATATGACTTATTTCCATTGGGGTCCATGAGATTTAAAGTCTATCTATATCACATGGATAAATAAGCCTGCATATTAACTTTACACTTACAATCAAGAATACTGAGAAGTACTAGTTTGGCAATAAAGTTGTAGATGACTGGAACAAACTTCAAGGAATGAGAACTTTGAGTAGCTTGGATGGGGACATGAGTGAATGTGAGTTGGACCTGCCTACCATGGGCCAACAGGGTTACTGCAATGTTCCTTCATTATGTTTTTGATCTTACTTTAATCCCTAAATAAAATATTACAATAAACTCTGTGTATAAGTTTATATGTATCCTTCTGTGTGAGTATTATTATATTCATGGGGAAGTGCTTAACCCTTAGGGGTAATAAAGCAAAGGAATGATTTAGTAAATTAATGGAATTTTATCCAGGGTAACCCAATAAATTCAAGTAATGTGACACATCCAAGAGCTCTTCACTGGCATCAAGGACCCCTCCCCCCCCCCTTTAAGGGTCAACATATCAGAGGCTTACCATTTAAAAGGGTCATAATATACATTTAAAATGGCTCCCTTAATGCCTCCTCTCTCCTGGCGGCGAGGCTCGGGTGCTGCCGGCATGATCTTGAACATGATTAACAATATATGCTGAACTTCAGTCCTGTTACCTGTAGTGTTAATACAAGAGTAAAATAAGATATAAAACACTCACAAATGTGAAATACAACGTGCAATATTAGGATATCTGGTCATTATTTACTCTTTTATATTATAAATAATTTCCATGTTATCTAATGCATAGGAAAAAACATAGTTACTTGTTATGGAAACTGTGATAACAGGCAAAATATGGTTTAAATAATAATATATTACAAGGGCCTCAATGGAAATAAGTCACTTTGACATTTTTGGGTTATGCTGGTGGGTAATTTACACTAATTATGATAATTGTACTTATGTGTACCTGTCTAAATAAACTTAACTATTTATGTAAATTCTTACATATTATTATGTAGGCCTTGAAATGCATTGTATAATAGTGGCAATCTTTTGCGCCTAACAATGTAAGTTTATTTAGGTACAGTTACACATAAGTACAACTGACCTTAATGTGTAAATTACCAACTGGGTAATTTACATTGGGGTCCTTGACCCCATTATTTTTTTACTGCATAAAATAAATAAAAATTTCAAAATGAAAGTTATATTTTGGACAAATACAAGAGTAGCTTTATTCTGATCAGTAAATTTAATGACATAACCCAACCCAACCTAGACTAGGAACCCAATGGAAATCAGTCACTTTGACTTTTTTGGGTTATTTTAGGTTCTCTAAACATATGCTGCTATGTATGATAATCTATGTAACTGTATTTGTGTATACCTGAATAAACTTACTTATTATAATGGGGAAGTGCTAAACCCGTAGGATTATACAGCATCTGTGGGGGGGGAGGGGATGGAAGATATTCAGGCTTAATTTAGGGAACTGGAGCACAGATCCAATTCCCTAGATCAAGAGCCCCTCACCAGCATCGAGGAACCTCCCTTGAGGGGACACTTATTTACCAGCTGTAAAACTATAGGTTAGGTTAGATTGGGGTAACACTAGGTTAGATTACATTAGATTAGGTAATACTAGGCTAGATTGTGTAATACTAGGCTTAGTTGATTGGGTAATACTAGGTTAAGTTAGGCTAGGTAACACTAGGTTAGGTTAGGCTAGGTAACACTAGATTAGGTTAAGTTAGGCTAGGTAACACTAGGTTAGGTTAGGTTAGGTAACACTAGGTTAGGTTAGGCTAGGTAACACTAGGTTAGGTTAGGCTAGGTAATGTTAGGTTAGGCTAGGCTAGGTAATGTTAGGTTAGGCTAGGTAACACTACTGACTCACGAAATCGTAATGACACGATTGCAAACAAACCATACCCCGGCCGGAATTGAACCCGCTAGGTAACACTAGGTTAGGTTAAGCTGGGTAACACTAGGTTAGGTTAGACTAGGTAACATAAGTTAGGTTAGGCTAGGTAACACTAGGTTAGGTTAAGCTAGGTAACACTAGGTTAGGTTAAGCTAGGTAACACTAGGTTAGGTAAGACTAGGTAACACTAGGTTAGGTTAAGCTAGGTAACACTAGGATAGGTTAAGCTAGGTAACACTAGGTTAGGTTAGACTAGGTAACACTAGGTTAGGTTAAGCTAGGCAACACTAGGTTAGGTTAAGCTAGGTAACACTAGGTTAGGTTAAGCTAGGTAACACTAGGTTAGGTTAAGCTAGGTAACACTAGGTTAGGTTAAGCTAGGTAACACTAGGTTAGGTTAAGCTAGGTAACACTAAGTTAGGTTAAACTAGGTAACACTAGGTTAGGTTAAGCTAGGTAACACTAGGTTAGGTTAAACTAGGTAACACTAGTTAGGTTAAACTAGGTAAACACTAGGTTAGGTTAAGCTAGGTAACACTAGGTTAGGTTAAGCTAGGTAACACTAGGTTAGGTTAAGCTAGGTAACACTAGGTTAGGTTAAACTAGGTAACACTAGGTTAGGTTAAGCTAGGTAACACTAGGTTAGGTTAAGCTAGGTAACACTAGGTTAGGTTAAGCTAGGTAACACAAGGTTAGGTTAAACTAGGTTAACACTAATTTAGGTTAAACTAGGTTAACACTAGGTTAGGTTAAACTAGGTTAACACTAATTTAGGTTAAACTAGGTTAACACTAGGTTAGGTTAAACTAGGTTAACACTAATTTAGGTTAAACTAGGTTAACACTAGGTTAGGTTAAACTAGGTTAACACTAGGTTAGGTTAAACTAGGTTAATACTAGGTTAGGTTAAACTAGGTTAACACTAATTTAGGTTAAACTAGGTTAACACTAGGTTAGGTTAAATTAACAAATATGCAATAAATGTAAATAAGACCATTACAAAGTTCACTAAATAATGAAGAATTTTAACATTGATCAAATATCTTAATATTACATAAATGTTTTATTTCATAAGTGACAAAAGTAACAATTCCGGTGTTGAATGTTAACACCAATGTTAAATGTTTACACGAGTGATGAAAATTAATATGAATGTTGAAAATTAACATGAATGTTGAAAATTAACATGAATGTTGAAAATTAACATGAATGTTGAAAATTAACATGAATGTTGAAAATTAACATGTTGAAAATTAACATGAATGTTGAAAATTAACATGAATGTTGAAAATTAACATGTTGAAAATTAATATGAATGTTGAAAATTAACATGAATGTTGAAAATTAACATGAATGTTGAAAATTAACATGAATGTTGAAAATTAACATGTTGAAAATTAACATGAATGTTGAAAATTAACATGAATGTTGAAAATTAACATGAATGTTGAAAATTAACATGAATGTTGAAAATTAAACGTATTTAATAACACGTGCTGAAAATTTACGAGTTGAATATTGTAATAAAGTTGGTAGAATTACCGACAATATGTAAAGTAAAAGGACACAAGTGCAACTAATGTGAATATTGAATATTGACAAGAATATCGAATATTACAAGTAGAAAACTACAAATAAGTCGAGTAATACCATAAATAAGGATAATATTACCATAAATAAGGGTAATATTGGCATAAATAAGGGTAATATTGGCATAAATAAGGGTAATATTGGCATAAATATGGGTAATATTGCATAAATAAGGGTAATATTGATATAAATAAGGGTAATATTGGCATAAATAAGGGTAATATTGGCATAAATAAGGGTAATATTGGCATAAATAAGGGTAATATTGGCACAAATAAGGGTAATATTGGCATAAATAAGGGTAATATTACCATAAATAAGATGGGTGGTGGCGCCTCCTGGGGTCAGGTAAACACTGCTGCTTCAGTCTTATCCACTACAGTATTATGTCGAAATATATTATTATTATTATATTACATTTATTTCTAGTGTCTTTATTGAGTTATTTATATTACAGATATTTTATGTTCAGTGAAAATATCCTATTTAATTTTTTTTCTTTAATTTTAAAAAGTTCAAAACTGTGCTGGTCAGGAACTAACGGAATTAAAATTTATTATTAAATTTTCGTTTTAATGAAGAAAAAATATTTTATTATTACCTTTACTGTTATTTATATTATTATTTACGTCATGTATATCTTATTATTATTTACAATATAGTATTTTATTGTAATAATCATAATTAAGCGATAAACCCACAAGGGATATATTTTTGTTTCGTTACTTATTATTATTGCTGTCGAGTGGAGCGTTAAACCCGCAGGGGTCACACCACTCACCGGGGCGGGGGGTTAACGGGAGGCAGGTTTGATCCAAGGCAGCCGAGATTAAACCCACTTCTTCGGATCAAGAGCATCAAGGTCCTTGGCTGCGTCTCCCCCACACCTTGATGGATGCAATAAAAATGTTAAAAATTAATTTATCTATAATCTGGGCTCTTGTTCACAGAAAATGGAGCTACTTATTCCTTTTCCATGGCATAAAATTATCTAATATTCCCCACACCATGGTAATTTTGGTACAAATCATGGTAATTTTGATATAAATCATAGTAATTTTGGTACAAATCATGGTAATTTTGATATAAATCATGGTAATTTTGGTACAAATCATGATAATTTTGGTATAAATCATGGTAATTTTGGTATAAATCATGGTAATTTTGGTATAAATCATGGTAATTTTGGTATAAATCATGGTAATTTTGGTATAAATCATGGTAATTTTGGTATAAATCATGGTAATTTTGGTATAAATGATGGTAATTTTGGTATAACTCATTGTAATTTTGGTATAAATCATGGTAATTTTGGTACAAATCATGGTAATTTTGATATCATGGTAATTTTGGTATAAATCATGGTAATTTTGGTATAAATCATGGTAATTTTGATATAAATCATGGTAATTTTGGTATAAATCATGGTAATTTTGATATCATGGTAATTTTGGTATAAATCATGGTAATTTTGGTATAAATCATGATAATTTTGGTATAAATCATGGTAATTTTGATATATGTAAACCATTTTCATTGCATGACATTTACCAGTGCTAAATTTCCTCTTTTATTTTCGCTGCACTTGCTTAATTTACCTAAATTTATTGTCCAGAAGTTTCCAAACATTTTGATTTTTTACCTTCTATAAGACTTTTTTTGCATCACACACAATGGGAATTTTTTGAATCATACTCAAAATTATTCACACAGGTTTTTATTTCTCCTGGAAAGTTATTTTTATTATTTTTTTTTATTATCACACTAGCCGATTCCCACCAAGGCAGGGTGGCCCGAAAAAGAAAAACTTTCACCATCATTCACTCCATCACTGTCTTGCCAGAAGGGTGCTTTACACTACAGTTTTTAAACTGCAACATTAACACCCCTCCTTCAGAGTGCAGGCACTGTACTTCCCATCTCCAGGACTCAAGTCCGGCCTGCCGGTTTCCCTGAACCCCTTCATAAATGTTACTTTGCTCACACTCCAACAGCACGTCAAGTATTAAAAACCATTTGTCTCCATTCACTCCTATCAAACACGCTCACGCATGCCTGCTGGAAGTCCAAGCCCCTCGCACACAAAACCTCCTTTACCCCCTCTCTCCAACCTTTCCTAGGCCGGCCCCTACCCCGCCTTCCTTCCACTACAGACTGATACACTCTTGAAGTCATTCTGTTTCGCTCCATTCTCTCTACATGTCCGAACCACCTCAACAACCCTTCCTCAGCCCTCTGGACAACAGTTTTGGTAATCCCGCACCTCCTCCTAACTTCCAAACTACGAATTCTCTGCATTATATTCACACCACACATTGCTCTCAGACATGACATCTCCACTGCCTCCAGCCTTCTCCTCGCTGCAACATTCATCACCCATGCTTCACACCCATATAAGAGCGTTGGTAAAACTATACTCTCATACATTCCCCTCTTTGCCTCCAAGGACAAAGTTCTTTGTGTACGAATGGTATATAATACCGACAAGATGAGAGTAAGACACATGTGCAACATCTGGGTATCTTTATTGTAGACGTTTCGCCATCCAGTGGCTTTATCAATACAAATTCCAGGACATAACTTGAAGACAGTAGAACTATGTACAGAAGATGAGGTAATCAGTCCCTCAACCTAGGAGTAGGTGCGAACAGCACCATAGTCGTGGAGATTCTGAAGCAGAAGAAAGAATCCTGGCGCTTATATAGTAACGTCAGGTGAAGCAGACGAGGGCAAATTCACTGGTTGGCGGGATTCCCCAGTGGAAGTAGGTCCGTCCCAAAGAGATGGGTTGGTTGTAGTAGTAGATGTCGTAGTCGTGAAGGTTATGTACATGTCCTCAGAATTAAGATTCCATGATGTTGCAGTGTCTGACAAGTTGTGTACGAATGGTATATAATACCGACAAGATGAGAGTAAGACACATGTGCAACATCTGGGTATCTTTATTGTAGACGTTTCGCCATCCAGTGGCTTTATCAATACAAATTCCAGGACATAACTTGAAGACAGTAGAACTATGTACAGAAGATGAGGTAATCAGTCCCTCAACCTAGGAGTAGGTGCGAACAGCACCATAGTCGTGGAGATTCTGAAGCAGAAGAAAGAATCCTGACGTTACTATATAAGCGCCAGGATTCTTTCTTCTGCTTCAGAATCTCCACGACTATGGTGCTGTTCGCACCTACTCCTAGGTTGAGGGACTGATTACCTCATCTTCTGTACATAGTTCTACTGTCTTCAAGTTATGTCCTGGAATTTGTATTGATAAAGCCACTGGATGGCGAAACGTCTACAATAAAGATACCCAGATGTTGCACATGTGTCTTACTCTCACAAAGTTCTTTGTCTCCACAGATTCCTAAGTGCACCACTCACTCTTTTTCCCTCATCAATTCTATGATTCACCTCATCTTTCATAGACCCATCCGCTGACACGTCCACTCCCAAATATCTGAATACATTCACCTCCTCCATACTCTCTCCCTCCAATCTGATATTCAATCTTTCATCACCTAATCTTTTTGTTATCCTCATAACCTTACTCTTTCCTGTATTCACCTTTAATTTTCTTCTTTTGCACACCCTACCAAATTCATCCACCAATCTCTGCAACTTCTCTTCAGAATCTCCCAAGAGCACAGTGTCATCAGCAAAGACCAACAGGCCAAAGTAGTTTTGTGGAACCCTTAATCAATGGTAATGAGTCAAGGACCCCAATGGAAATACGTCACTTTGTTCGACTTTTTTAGGTTATGCTGGTGGGTAAGTTATACACTTTTTTTTTCAACGAACTGACCATATCCTACCAAGGCAGGGTGACCTAAAGAGAAAAATGAAAGTTTCTCTTTTTAAATTTAGTAATGCATACAGGAGAAGGGGTTACTAGCCCCTTTCTCTCAGCATTTTAGTCACCTTTTACGGCACGCATGGCTTACGGAGGAAGAATTCTGGTCCACTTCCCCGTGGAGTAATTTACACATATGTTACCATGTATGATAACTTGTGTAACTGTATTTATGTGTACCTGTAGCTAAATATAATAAATGTTACAGGAGACAAGACAGTATTTTTTTCTCTGCACCTTCCACACATTGTAATTTAAAAAATCTCATACATTATATTATGTTGTTTATCTTTTATTCATTATTTAATAGTTTTAACATTAGTCTGAGTGGAAAAAAACATTATCATCCAGTGCAACTCAAACCCCTGAAAGGTGCCATATATTTGTGGCTTTCTTTTGTGCCTAACAATATTTTACTGTATGTAAACTACGTTACCTGTAATAATCATGATCAAGCAATACGACATGCAAAACAACCATGGGGGAAGTTGAATGATAGCTTTAGACCTTTCGTGTTGCAATCAACACATTATCAGGAGCTTGCCATATTGTAGAAATGAGTATGAAATCCACGCAGATTAGTTCAGAAGAATGTTCTAGCTCGAATGAGGTAGGGGAAGTCTACCTCATTCAAGCTAGAATGTTCTCCTGAACTAATCTGCATGGACTTCCTACTCATTTCTGCAACACTGCAAGTTCCTGATGGTTTGTTGATTGCAACATGAAAGACCTAACTACATGACTCATGAAATTGTAATGACACAATTGGAAACAAACCATACCACAGGTGGGGTTTGAACCTGCGGTCAGAGAGTATCAAAACGTGATGGTCTGGAGTTTTGAGATTCTCTGACCATGGGTTCAAACCCCACCTGTGGTATGTTTTTTTTACGAAAGACCTAGAGTAATCGGTTGTTCTCCACTGATCGCGGGTTCTAACCCTGCCCGTGATATGGTTTGTTTGCAATCGTGTCATTATGATTTCGTGAGTCATTACCTGTATGATATGACCCCAAGGGCCATGCCTCTTCCACTCTGCTATCCAGCCTATACAAGTACTGAACCTCCATAAGGAAATCTGTAGTCCTTAACTGATGACCAATAGCAATGGTTCTGAGGTTCAACTAAGCATCACCATTTTGAAAGGAATTATGAGGACAGGGACAGCAGGTGTAAAGAAACATGCCCAATGTTTCCACTGGGCCAGGGATTGAACTATGGTCGCTCAGTGTGTGTGGCAAGAGTGTTGCCAACCAGGCCACAGCACGCCCAAGTTGCAAACATCCCCATCTCTGAATGAGAGCACTTATGAACCAACAAAATGCAACTACTAGTACACAATACAAATGTGTATGAAACCTAACCATTCTCTGAACTGCTGCTTCTATCAAAATAACTAGAATAGTCTGCAAGCTGAAGCACCAAGAATACAATTCATTTCTAAGTTGCAGATTTCCTCTATATTGTGTTATAGCATTATTAAATGTGTATACATGAATATGCAACACTGTATATTGCCCTATATTGTATATGAATATAAACAGTTCATCAATAAAAATATACATACTATGTGTGCATAAATATATCATTAGAAATATGTAGATTTATGTGTACTTAATATAATATGTAGGCATGCTTACATACAAGGATACATGAACCATCTGAACTTATACTGTATACATAAAATCTGTTGCCATTTTTAAAATCTATGTAAAAAATAAAAGAAAATACCACTTTCTTCCATAAACATCCTCTAAAAATGTCAAATTTAATTACAATTAAATTTTTATTGATCAGCCAGGTTCTTGACCTTTCTAATGAATGGAAAGTGTAAAGCCAAGCACAAATGTCGATTGATTCAAAACCCAGTATACATAAAAATGTTTATACAGTATTATATTAGGTACAATAATGGTACAAACCCACATGGAAATTCAACAGAAGGTAAAAGGAATACATTACTGGATACAGTATTTCAGTGTTTATTATTATAATTAAACCCAAGGGTAATACAGTGCTGATTTCAGCCTTTAATCAAGGTCCTCTTCAGCAGACTATGTAGCCAAAATACACTACAGTATTTAGTATTGTATATTTATTTTATCTTCTATTTTTGTGTTTGTGCTACTGACCAACTTCTATTAGTTTAAAAAATGCATCAGCTGCCCATTAAAAATATATCTACCAGTTCCACTAATATACAATATATTTATTTGAATTCATCAGTCATTTCCCATCAGGGTGACCTAAAACTGGGAACACATTAAATTCCATTAACAAGGGATAATCAGTCCCTTGCCCTGAAAAAAATATTTTAATTGCTCTCTGTGACACACACGGTTTACTAAGGAAGGATTCTTACTAAATGGGAAAATCTACATATATTTCTTTTAACACACTGGCTGTCTCCCACCAAGGCAGGGTGACCCAAAAAAGAAACACTCTCATCATCATTCACACTATCACTGTCTTGCTAGAGGTGCGTAGATGCAACGGTTCAGATGTCACTCCAAACAGCAAATATCCCCACTCCTTCTATCCTAATTCCAACTTCACATTACCACACCAATAGATAAAAACTATTTAAATATATATATATCTGTGATCCTTTCTATGTACAGCTCTATACAAGACTTAATGTCATGTTATAGTATATACATTAATTCATATTTCACATTAAGCTGGATTATGTACAGGTTTCCCTTCACTTTATGTAGTCTCACTGTTAAATGGTGACCCCAATGACACAATACTGTAATTTACTACAGTAGTCCCCCGTACAAGTAGGTGAAACATTCCAAGACCTACTGGTGGATGCCGGAAACTGTGGATAGCAGCAAATCCTATATACACCTACCATCCGACTTACGACCTGCTCAACATACGACCACTCGACTTATGATTGTGTTTTGTATGCCAAATTTCTGGGAAATAAACAAGTGTTTGTGTTGTACACAGTGTTTATCCTAAACCTTACAGTATAAAATACAGTGCTAACAGCATAAAAAGTAAAGTAAAAAATGAAATACCAAAATAAACAATAAAATAAAGTCATTACAAAAATGTTATGTTGATATTCAGTAGTAAGGTTCGACTTACGTCCATTTCGACTTACGACCGGTTTGTCGCAACCAAGCTGGGTCGTAAGTCGGATGGTACCTGTATGTCATTTTTTGATTACATGCATACCTATGATAAAGTTTAACTGATAAATTACATACAATAAGACATTACAATGTTGATTTTTGGGGATGATCGATTAGTGGACATGGTTTGTTTTTCAACCTTTTGGAAAAACATCATGATAGGAAGTTAGTGTTTCTGTTTTTTTTTTAGCTCATCAAACATTTGCTGGAGAGGTTCTAATGTTTTGGTGATTATACAGGTGATTTTAATGCTGCATTCCATCACAGGATCGTAATCCATGATTTTTTCCTGTAGTCTGTGCAATCCAAAACACTTGGCAAATTTTCCATTTAATATTTTCGGGCCACGGTAAACCGTGGATAACTGAAACTGCAGAAACTGAATCTGCAGATACGGGGGTTCTGCTGTGTATTCAGAATAAATATGCTGTTATATGAACACTCAAGCCCAACACCGCTTTGATTTTTAACATCACTTATGGATTATGACTGAAGTTTGAATTTTAGTCTTCCTTACAAAAAACCCACACGTACAAAAAAGTAGTTAAAACAACCTTTCAATCTGTCCTAGACCATTGTTACATCACAAGTCACAACCTGAGAATGGTTCTGGATGGACCAAAACATCATCCTAACTTTCTTTTCTTGTGTATTTTTGGGAATTTGGACCAAATTTTTATTATATTATTATTATTATTATTATTATTATTATTATAATCAAAAAGAATCCAAATTTATTACATTTTGGTATATGCCAAATTCACTTCTTCTGGCATATGCCTATTTAGTGCTTATGGGATATGCTCATAATTTTTGGGTAAAAATAAGACAAGATATGTGGTATTTTTCCCAAAAAGTTTTTGAACCAAATTATTTTTTTTTTTGTGTATGATCATATAGTATATGGGTGGTAGACTTTTTTTTTTTTTTTTTTTTTTTGGCAAACACTCATCAAGAAATTCTCCAAGGATATGCCTAAGTTTTACATATATTTGTGAACTCAGATTAAGTTGTAAATAAACAACTGTCAATTAATAAACAGAAAAATCGACGGAGGCACAAATCACAGCCTGTAATTTGACAGTCCGAGACTCTACCACCTTCATATTGCATTGCGTTCACTTTGTGCAATTTCACTTAATGTACCATTAGCAGGGAATGCATCTATTGCATAAGATGAGGGACACCTGTACATACCCAAGAGAGGACAGACTAGGACAACTTAGGAAAAAAATAAGGCCTGCTAATGTTCAACCTCAACACCACCAAAGTTCGGCAAACCACCTTAATTTCGTTCACCGTTTGTGAATTATGTGCATCACTGTAAGGCTTCATGTGGAGTAAGGTGTGGCTTGCCAGGATGATATATTGCAACAGTCTGGTCCCATGCACAGTCTGCCATCACACCTTCTTTGTGGTTTGATAAGTCTAAACCATACACAAACTCAGTGTGATTCTTCATCACTTCTAGACACGGAGACGGCGCTGTGTGGTCCCAAACTCTGAAAAATAGGAACAGGAACTGGTAACTTATATGTTGCTTCTTATGAAGTATTTTATAATGGTCTGACAGTCATCTTACAAGCAACATGCCAAATTCTATAAATACACAAACAACGAGCAGGTTGTGGGTTTTTTGAGTATTGCTACAGTCATGGTATTGTGCCTTAAATTAAAAAATATAAAACTGCAGGGAAGAGAGAGGTGAAGGTTTATAAACTAAAAGAGGAGGCAGTTAGGGTAAGATATAAACAGCTATTGGAGGATAGATGGGCTAATGAGAGCATAGGCAATGGGGTCGAAGAGGTATGGGGTAGGTTTAAAAATGTAGTGTTAGAGTGTTCAGCAGAAGTTTGTGGTTACAGGAAAGTGAGTGCGGGAGGGAAGAGGAGCGATTGGTGGAATGATGATGTAAAGAGAGCAGTAAGGGAGAAAAAGTTAGCATATGAGAAGTTTTTACAAAGTAGAAGTGATGCAAGGAGGGAAAAGTATACGGAGAAAAAGAGAGAGGTTAAGAGAGTGGTGAAGTAAATGTAAAAAGAGAGCAAATGAGAGAGTGGGTTGAGATGTTATCAACAAATTTTGTTGAAAATAAGAAAAAGTTTTGGAGTGAGATTAACAAGTTAAGGAAGCCTAGAGAACAAATGGAAATTTTTCAGTTAAAAATAGAAGAGGAGAGTTATTTAAAAGAGAGTTAGAGGTATTGGGAAGATGGAGGGAATATTTTGAGGAATTGTTAAATGTTGATGAAGATAGGGAAGCTGTGATTTCGTGTATAGGGCAAGGAGGAATAACATCTTGTAGGAGTGAGGAAGAGCCAGTTGTGAGTGTGGGGAAGTTCGTGAGGCAGTAGGTAAAATGAAAGGGGGTTAGGCAGCCGAGATTCATGGGAAAAAGATAGAAATGTTAAAAGCAGGTGGGGATATAGTTTTGGAGTGGCTGGTGCAATTATTTAATAAATGTATGGAAGAGGGTAAGGTACCTAGGGATTGGCAGAGAGCATGCATAGTTCCTTTGTATAAAGGCAAAGGGGACAAAAGAGAGTGCAAAAATTATAGGGGCATAAGTCTGTTGAGTATACCTGGTAAAGTGTATGGTAGAGTTATTATTGAAAGAATTAAGAGTAAGATGGAGAATAGGATAGCAGATGAACAAGGAGGCTTTAGAAAAGGTAGGGGGTGTGTGGACCAGGTGTTTACAGTGAAACATATAAGTGAACAGTATTTAGACAAGGCTAAAGAGGTCTTTTGTGCATTTATGGATTTGGAAAAGGCATATGACAGGGTGGATAGGGGGGCAATGTGGCAGATGTTGCAGGTGTATGGTGTAGGAGGTAGGTTACTGAAAGCAGTGAAGAGTTTTTACTAGTATAGTGAGGCTCAAGTTAGAGTATGTAGGAAAGAGGGAAATTATTTCCCAGTAAAAGTAGGCCTTAGACAAGGATGTGTGATGTCACCGTGGTTGTTTAATATATTTATAGATGGGGTTGTAAGAGAAGTAAATGCGAGGGTCTTGGCAAGAGGCGTGGAGTTAAAAGATAAAGAATCACACATAAAGTGGGAGTTGTCACAGTTGCTCTCTGCTGCTGATTCTGCGAGGGTCTTGGCAAGAGGCGTGGAGTTAAAAGATAAAGAATCACACATAAAGTGGGAGTTGTCACAGTTGCTCTTTGCTGCTGATTCTGAAGAGAAGTTGCAGAGATTGGTGGATGAATTTGGTAGGGTGTGCAAAAGAAGAAAATTAAAAGTGAATACAGGAAAGAGTAAGGTTATGAGGATAACAAAAAGATTAGGTGATGAAAGATTGGATATCAGATTGGAGGGAGAGAGTATGGAGGAGGTGAATGTATTCAGATATTTGGGAGTGGACGTGTCAGCGGATGGGTCTATGAAAGATGAGGTGAATCATAGAATTGATGAGGGTAAAAGAGTGAGTGGTGCACTTAGGAGTCTGTGGGGAAACAAAGAACTTTGTCCTTGGAGGCAAAGAGGGGAATGTATGAGAGTATAGTTTTACCAACGCTCTTATATGGGTTTGAAGCATGGGTGATGAATGTTGCAGCGAGGAGAAGGCTGGAGGCAGTGGAGATGTCATGTCTGAGGGCAATGTGGGTGTGAATATAATGCAGAGAATTCGTAGTTTGGAAGTTAGGAGGAGGTTTCGGGATTACCAAAACTGTTGTCCAGAGGGCTGAGGAAGGGTTGTTGAGGTGGTTCGGACATGTAGAGAGAATGGAGCGAAACAGAGTGACCTCAAGAGTGTATCAGTCTGTAGTGGAAGGAAGGCGGGGTAGGGGTCGGCCTAGGAAAGGTTGGAGGGAGGGGGTAAAGGAGGTTTTGTGTACGAGGGGCTTGGACTTCCAGCAGGCATGCGTGAGCGTGTTTGATAGGAGTGAATGGAGACAAATGGTTTTTAATACTTGACGTGCTGTTGGAGTGTGAGCAAAGTAACATTTATGAAGGGGTTCAGGGAAACCGGCAGGCCGGACTTGAGTCCTGGAGATGGAAAGTACAGTGCCTGCAGTCTGAAGGAGGGGTGTTAATGTTGCAGGTTAAACTGTAGTGTAAAGCACCCTTCTGGCAAGACAGTGATGGAGTGAATGATGGTGAAAGTTTTTCTTTTTCGGGCCAACCTGCTTTGGTGGGAATCGGCCAGTGTGATAATAATAAAATAATAATAAAAACTGCAGTAGATGAGTCCATATGAGTTGGCCATTTCTGGCCATGATAGCACTGTGGAACTGTGAAGTGCACCATACATACCTATTATGAAGTGATTTAATGAAAGGCTTGTTCAAATGTTCATTAAATTTTTTTGAATGTGGCTCAACAATAAAACTTATAATGAAATTTGGCATTATTTTCATAGTATTTAAGAAATTTTAATACTTCATGAATATTCTGTCTTCTAAAATTATTCATATGTCAAATGTTGCATATTAAAATTTTTATTCCCATTTCTGTCATTGAAATATGAAAAAAAAAACATAAAAAAAGTCTATTCTAAGGGCACTGACAAAATTAATGAGGTAGTCTGAGGTAGTGGAGAACAACTCTACGTGGATTCAAAAGTTGAGATGATACTTGATATCCTTTGTTTACAAACTCTCGAATCTATTAAATGAAGAGTACAAATTAATGCACTAATATGTAGTTAACATATGAGTTAAACCGAGACAACTTATTAGTCAGTCTTAGATCATTATCAAGTTGATGACATAGGATAGACTAAAAGTTGTCAAAATCAGACTGAAATGTCGTCATAATTTTCTTTCCCTGATGTGAAGGTTATTTGTGCATAGGTTAGTTTCATCTCCATTGTGTGGGTTAGTTGTGAATTACTCTAGCCATGGTGTTAGGACTTTCATTTTTAATGTACTTTACTCATATACCATATAATACCTTGTTGTGAAATCATAAGACGCTGAAGCTAACTGTGTTTCGATGAATGGTGAAAACTTCACTCTGCGCACTGGATATTCATGTCCCTGAAACAATAGATACAAATTTAGCAACTCAAGTTTAAACTCATGTAGTTAAGCTCCTGCAAATGTGGTTTTTATAGCACTCTAATTATGGAAATTATAGAAAACACATCACAATTCCAATGACCCTCTGAACAGCAACATTTCCAGGTCAAGTTACGAGCATCTGACAATGTTATGGGAAAGGAAGGCATCTACAGAGACAAAGTCGACCAAGATTCATACAAGGAAAGTTGTGTATAAGGGAGGATTCAACAAAACAGTGACTGAAGGCTAGAAGAAAATAAGACAGTTTTGGCAGACGACCACTTAACACTGTACTCCCCACCTCCAGGTCAAGAGTTTGGCTAAAGGAAGCCTTTTTCATATTTTGACTATTTCAGTGGGGCTATTGGCCATAAGGTGGGGTACGCAAAAAGAAGCAACTGTCATCACATGGCAGTTGCTTTTTTTTCTTTTTGAGGGATTGGTCCCAGATCTGATTTTTTTTCTTTTTGAGGGATTGGTCCCAGATCTGCAGACAGGTGAGAATCATTCCCTGTGAAAGTAAGAGGATCGACCAACTGTGTAAAATATCCTCAGTGAAGCGCAGGGGTACACTAAGAGAAACCTCATTATGGTAATACAGGTGGTCCTTGACTTACGACTGGGTTACGTTCCGACAAACCAATCATAAGTTGAATATAAATATGATATGCTAAATAAATGAGCAAATAAATAAATACTCTCACTGAATAAATAAATAAACAAATAATTACTGTAGCTAGCTAAATACCAGCACTGAAAAGTAAATACATGAATACAAGTTATGGTCTTACCACCTTCATGTTGGGTAAATATCTTAAGTTTCAACCCCAAAGTAATTGCTTTTGCAGTATCATAAAGTCGAAATATTGCAACTCGAACTGTGTAAGTCAAGGAGCGCCTTTATTAACTGAAAAAGATGCAAATATAGTCGTTGTTGGCTTTATGGAGGGTCACAGCTAAACAATCAGTGGCTTACCAACTGGATTTTGTGGTTTAATTGACATGGAGGAAAAGAAATGGAGCAGATCACTAAATGTGATCATCAGTGAAAGAATTGCTTCCATGAACAAGTGAGGTCAATAAGTCTGTTACATAAATAACATTGCATAACCACCAGCTGTACTTAAGAGGATCTTTTCAACTGTCATGTCCATTCACTTCTATAGAAAACAGTTATTGAATAAGGTATAGTAAGTGTTGTTTACTTGTGGTCACCTCACTACTTTGCTGGGAAATAGCCTGAGGTAAAAAAAAAAAATCTATCTACCTCAAAATACACTGCCTTACTAAATCATATCTAGTAACATGTGTAAATTACCTAGAATAGCCCAGAAATGTCAAACAGTCACTTATTTCCATTGGGGCTCTTGTAATATCTTATTATTTAAAGCCAAACCTAGCCAGTTTGTTGAAAAAATTATTAAAAACTATCTGTACCTCTCAATACACTGCATTTAACTGAAATACTTACAAAGAGAATAAAGATAGGAAGAGTAGGTTGTCTTAGATCCCAACCATAGATATTGGCATCAGTACTTGCTGTGGCAATAACATTTTCATTGTATTTGCACCAATCACAGCTCAGCACTTCTCCCTCACAAACACGAATCGTGATTGATGGCTGAGAGTTCTTCTTTGTATTCCATATTCTTAATATCCCATCACCTAAATGTGTAAAAAATGTGCTCGTTAATAAACATAAAGGAAAGAAGATGCAATGCTAATGATCCACATACCATCAGATGCACACATTTTAGTTGAAATTTTATTTCCTTCAGTGCTTGCACTCTGAAGGAGGGGTGGAGATATGTTGCTGTTTTTAACTGTAGTATTGGCACGCCTTTGGCAAGACAGTGATAGAGTGATGATGAAAATGTTTCTTCTTTTCCGTGTCAACCTGCCTCGTGGGAAATGGCCGATGTGTGAAAAAAAAAAACACTCTTTATACAGAAATGTATGACACATACATAAAGTTCATGGTTATGTAGAGTATTTCTGGCAAGCTTTAGACTAGCTTACACTACATGGGTAATGAACATTACATATATGTATTTAGGGACATTAAACATCTTGGGGACAAAATTAACCTAATTATTTTTACCTTAAAATTACAAACTTATATTTTTTGTAGTAATACTCGTTATAGTATTAAGCATAGGCAAGAGGAATGAAAAGCCGTTTTTCATTTTTTGCTTGTTTTGAAAAATAAATGTTATTGATATCATGGACAGCAGCTTAAATATTTTAGTTTTGTAACTACATTCTTACAATTTTTATATATAGTTTTTCATTAAAATTTGTTTGATAATATATACAGTTTCAATCATGGTATTTCACGATGCCAATTCAGATGGAATAATTACAGAGCCATTGATTTGACTTGTAATAAGAGTTAAGAATGTACCTGCAACTGAAGCAATACAGCCAGAGAGATGAGGTGACCAAACAGCTTGGTACACCAGTGCTTCATGTCCAGTCATTGTCATTAAAGATCGGCTACGATTTGGATCCCACTGAAATTTAAAATATATTGTCAAGGACTGAACAGCTTGAAGGGCATGTTAAAATAATGTTTCTCCTTTTGAAAGCCTAAACAATGAATATATGTATTGTACACAATTACCCCACACAGAGAAGAGAGAAGCTTATGACTACTTGGACCATTTACAAAGTCACACTGTACTTACTTACCTATTTGTGGTTGCAGGAGTCGAGTCACAGATTTGGGCCCTGTGTCTTTGCTTGTCACTACTGTGTGTGAGAGTTTGTGTGTGTGGTGTGTGCGACTTTGTAAATGGTGCAAGTCAGACCGAAATGTCACCTTGAGTTTCTCTCTCCTATGTGCGGGTTGTTTGTGTACTGTTCCAGTTGTGCCTTTTTGTTCAATGTATCATATATTAAAAGTAAAATGAAACAAGATACTGTCCTTAATTAATTATTTTCTACAGTATTTATAATTTTCAAGGAACTGGACATAACCTCACCCTTGGCTAGTGGGATCTCAGCCAACCACAGAGGTTCTATTCTCTAATTTTTTGCAAAGTTTGAACAATTTCAAGTAAAACAAGGCCACTGAAACAAATGAATGACAAATTAATATTGTTAGAACCTTAACCCTTTCAGGGTCCAAGGCCCAAATCTGGAGTCACGCACCAGTGTCCAAGAATTTTCAAAAAAAAAAATTGTTATTTTTTCTTATGAAATCGTAGAGAATCTTTTTGTGAAGGTAATAAAACAAAAAGTACTAAATTTGGTGGAAAATTGACGAAATTATGCTCTCGCGAATTTTGATGTGTCAGCGATATTTACGAATCGGCGATTTTGCCGACTTTGACTCCCATTTTAGGACAATTACATTATTCCAGTCAACCAAATTCTTAGCTATTTCACTAGTATTACTTCTATTCTATCGATTGAGCACAAGAAATCGCCAAGTCAACTGTTTCAACTACAAAATAAAGTGATCAGAAATTGTTAATTTGGCCAATTTAACACAAAGTTCAAAATATTCCAATTTCAAAATAGGGTCCAGAATGAACAATGTAGGCATTCCTGGCACTAAACTAACATTTCCTCTGTTCATTAGTTATGTTTTGAGGCTTTACAAATAAATTCCATTTTGATTTTTTATTCACATAATGAATTTTTATTCACACCAAAAAATAGAAGATTTACTGTTATGCAATACTGTAATAATTGTATAAATATCATCACCATATTTGTGAATGTATATTAGACCCACCAGCTGGCGTGTATTAGACGTGTGAGGTCGTTTGTTTACTCTTGAATATCGGCAAAAATTTAACATTTCTGCTACTTTGAGCTCAGTTTCAAGCCATTTCCAGTGCTTAAACCAATCAAAATCATCTCTATTTCTGTAATATGTCTTCCATTCTATCAAATGAGACCAAGAAATCGCAAATACAACTATAAAAAACATACGAAAAAACACTGCAAAGTTGCTGTTTTAATCGAAAAATCATTATTTCATTTTTTTTCTCATTATACACAGTGTGCTGCAGGATCTGTTTTATGTGGTGCACACATACCACATAGATGTATTCTCTCATATCTAGGCCCAAATGTACCACTCACAGTTTATCAGAGTGAGCTGACCTCATGGCGTAGATCTACGGTTTGGACCCTGAACGTAAAGCCGTAGATCTACGGGACGGACCCTGAAAGGGTTAAACAATAGCTATATTTACTTGTTTTATTCCTCATACCACAAACTATTAATTAAAAAATTACTAACAATAATGTTTAAAAGTGATACAGAACCTCTGTGGTTGGCTGAGTTCCCACTAGTCAAGGGTGAGGTTATGTCCAGCTCCTTGAAAATGATAAACAATGGCATCTCATTCCATATTTCTTCCTTCATAAGCCAGGCATGTCAGAAGTGGTTACTAAAATGCTGGAGGCAAGGGGATAGTAACCCCTTCTGTATAAATTACTAAAGGTAAAAAGAAGAAAAACTTTAAAAAGCATTTTTTTCTTCTTTCTTCTTTTGGGTCACTCTACCTCAGTGGTAGATGACTAGTGTATTAAAAAAAATAACCCTTAAAAGCAATGAGGCAGTGAATGCCAGGGAAATAGGTTATAATTATATTCATGGGGAAGTGCTAGATCCATGGGAGTCATAAAGCACTGTTACATGGAAGGAAGTCAAGTCTAACTCAAGGAAGGGAAGTTCCAGTTCATTGACTCAACATCCCTTCACTAGTATCTAGGCATCACCCTTCAGGGGGGCACTGAGTCTGAGATTTGACTTCTCACTCTCCACAGGGATGTACTAACTTCACCAAAAATCACTGTATTTACTTTAGCAGATTTCCAAAGTACAATCATCAACTGCACACTAATTCAGTACCAGCTTTAATGTTGTGTCCCACGATGCAGACACAAAGACCTGATAGTCCTGTGTCTGACTCCAGTCTACACTATATACTTCCTTCAGATGCTCTTGGTACACCATCAGAGGAGCCTGTTAACAGAAACCAAATATTAGTGAATAAGTATTTTAAATTAACATGAAATGGAAGACAAACAGAAACCTTAACATAAAATTCTTTCATGTTATCAATACCTTTATGTAATCTTTACAAGGGCAATAAGATGATCCTCTGTACTACAATTTCAAATCATTCATTAACTACCATGACTGCTAAAATGTGTTCAAGTTGATGATGAAAGCTTTTTCACTATCAGAAAAATGGGCATAGTGATGAGTGAACAATGATAAAAACATATATAAATAAATACTGATGACAAGTTACTTGTAGACTGATTGGTTTTAACTGCCCAACAAACTGTAAATCATGTAGGAAAGAAATCCAGTACAGTGGACCCCCGCTTTATGATCAGCTCCCAATGCGACCAATTATGTAAGTGTATTTATGTAAGTGCGTTTGTACGTGTATGTTTGGGGGTCTGAAATGGACTAATCTAATTCACAATATTCCTTATGGGACCAAATTCGTTCAGTACTGGCACCTGAACATATTTCTGGAATGAAATAATATCGTAAACCGGGGGTCCACTGTACTTTCTGATTACAACTGTCACAGCAATGCAGGGTGATCCCTAGAAGCAAACACATCAATCATCACTCATTCTAGTAACATAGGCTATATCCTAAATATGGAAAACCTAATTGCATAGCAAAGATAATCTGTATACTAGGTCTCGATTAGTGTGAATAATGAAACCCACGAAGTGGTCACAGTATTCGAATTTGTAATACAGTGGACCCCCGGTTAACAATATTTTTTCACTCCAGAAGTATGTTCAGGTGCCAGTACTGATCGAATTTGTTCCCATAAGGAATATTGTGAAGTAGATTAGTCCATTTCAGACCCCCAAACATACACGTACAAACGCACTTACATAAATACACTTACATAATTGGTCGCATTCGGAGGTGATCGTTATGCGGGGGTCCACTGTATTCAAATTGTATGTAATTTTTGTGCACGATTTGAAGAGTTTGGGAAAAACTAGCCCTAATTAATTTGGCACAAAATCGAAATTTGCACTAATCAAGTTCACACTAATCAGAACCTGTGCATCACAAACCTGCGGGTTAGCAGTGTCCCAGAGGTGCAAGGTGCCATCTCCTGATGCAGTAACAATGTTGTTAGGTGACTGTTCACTCCAGGTCAGGTCAAACAAAGCATCACTCCACTCACAGCTGCTGACCACACCATCATCAGGCAGACACAGGTCTGACAGGATCAACTTTCCTCTGCCTTAAAACAAAAATTGTGTTACTACAAGCTAAGTCATTTTGCAACATTCTATGCAGTGCAATGCAACTTTATTTCTTTTCTGAAGTATACAAACTGGTTTACATGTAATAAAATATTTTTAAGCACAAAAGAAAGCCATTAGTATGCAGTGCATTTCGGGCAGACTAATCCTAATGCTCACACACTACTTAAGAACTAGACATAAATTATTTGGATATATGATAATCATATATGGTAATCCTATTATGTATAGAGCATTTGCAGTTTAATTTTATACTAATAAGCAGCATTAATAATAAAAGCACTGATAATAAATTTACCTCTATCCAATACTAGGCCCAACAATAGGCAATAACTGTAATGGAGAGGTACAACATATGCAGGTAATCAAACAGTCAGTTAGTTTAAGCCAGTTTAATATTTTTATTATGCACCCCATACCCATCCTGTGTGCAGTAGTAAAAAAATTACAAAGGCACATAATGCATCCAGAGATGGACCACAAGTTTTGATAGCTGAATTAGTTATAGTAGAAATTACTATCAGAAAAAAAGTCTAGGAGAAACCACATTAACAAAAGAGTAAATACTATCTGCTGTTTGCTGGACTAGCCAAATACACTACCCCACTATGACCTGCCAGCAAGCCAAATGTCGTCCCTCACATCTCATGCTACCCAAATGTGCAAGTCATGGGAGTTCACAATCCCAAAAGCAAACCATGAAATAAAAACATAAATCACGAATGTGAGCAACAGAAGTGAATCAACACCCAACTCACCAGCAGACTGTAGTGAAGTAGAGCATGACTAACAGACTTATTTAATGGACTAGCACTGAACCTCCCTTTTTATCTATGTCCACCCTACAAAGAAGTGTACAGGTGCTCCTCAACTTACAATATATCAACTTGACAATGGTGCAAAAGCAATTACATACTATGGGAATGCAACTCAAAATAATTACCCAGCATGAAGGCAGCAAGTCCCTAACTTGTATTTGTGTATTTACTTTTCAACACTGGTATTTACTTACAGTAATTATTTGTTTATTTACTCATTCAGTGACAGTAGTTATTTATTTACTTATTTAATTAGTACATCATATTCATATGCAATTTACGATATATTCAACTTACTATATTTTCGTCGGAACGTAACCCAATCATAAGTTGAGGAGCACCAGTATTGGCCACCAATGGGCTGCAGCTCCAGGGGCAGGCTCAACCTCTAGGAGAGCAGAAATTTTTTTTTGTACATAAATCTTACCTAACAGCCCAAAATTCTGTCCTGTTGCAACAGCAACAAGATTTGGATTAAATGGGGAAAATTTGACACCGTATCCATGGTGGCCTGGAGTGCGAAGAATGCGAACGTTGTCATCCGACATCTTACTGAAAGTAATGTACAAGATAACATTAGTTTGTCGTACATAAGCATCTGACAGAAGAAAGCTTACTTGGATTTTAAATTATCTAAGATAAATATTAAATTATGAGGGGAGAAGTAAGTTTATTTAGGTACAGGTACACATAAGTACAATTATCATACACAGTTTAACATACATGTAAATTACCCACCAGGATAACCCAAAAAAACTCGAAGTTACTATTTCCATTGGGATCCTTGCAATATCTTAATATTTAAAGCCTAGCTGTAAGATACGGTAAAAATCACAACACAAAAGCGATATGCATTATTACATAAATCATTGGAAAACTAATGAATGAGACACTTGTGTAACACTTGGGTATCTTATATTGTGGAGACATTTCACTAACCAGTGGCTTTTTCAGTCCAATAAAGAGAAGAATGGTGGAAGATGAGGAATTTGTGGTAATCAGTCTCTCAGCCTAGAGATGATGTGTTCACTCCATCAAGGACCCCAATGGAAATATGTACCATATTTTCTGGCTTTTAAGCATACTTTTTTTTCCCTACAAAAAGGGTTTGAGAATCAGCCTGCATCTTATATGCTCAGGGTCAGGGTGAAGGGTAGATTTAGGGTTTTGGTTTAGCATAAAGTAAGGGTGTAATTAACCCTTCAATATAATCAATGATTTACCATTCTGATAAGTCTATCATGTGCCTTATATGCTGGAAAATACGTTAAGTCACTCTGACTTTTTTGGGGTATTCTGGTGGGTAATTTACACTACGTATGATAATTGTACTTATGTGTACCTGCGCCTAAATCAACTTACTATCAATAAATATACCCAAGTGTTGCATAAGAGTCTCATTCAACATAGCAATACTGTATAGATGAGAACATTGATACATTGTACAGTAGTCAGGAAAAAGTTAGCCATGTTAAACATTGAGTTGGCAAGATCAAATGGAATTGTTGGAAGCTCGATCCTCTGTTTGCTAAGTGACAGCTATTGTCAAACCTGAAATACAGTGGACCCCCGGTTAACAATATTTTTTCATTCCAGAAGTATGTTCAGGTGCCAGTACTGACCGAATTTGTTCCCATAAGGAATATTGTGAAGTAGATTAGTCCATTTCAGACCCCCAAACATACACGTACAAACGCACTTACATAAATACACTTACATAATTGGTCGCAATGGGAGGTTATCGTTAAGCGGGGGTCCACTGTAATGATAATAAGAAGAAAGTAAGTAAATAAGTTTATTCAGGTATACACAAATACAGTTACATAGATTATCATACATAACAGCATATGTGTAGACAAATAACAAAAAAAAGGCACAATACCGTGACTGGAACGATACACAAATAACCCGCACATAAAAGAGAGAAGCTTACAACGACGTTTCGGTCCGACTTGGACCAGTGTGACTTTGTAAATGGTCCAAGTCGGAACGAAACGTCGTCGTAAGCTTCTCTCTTTTATGTGCGGGTTATTTGTGTATGTGTAGACAACCTAAATTAACCCAAAAAAGTCAGAGAGAGCAACTTAATTTCTACCAGTACATGTACAAGGTATACAGACCATACTGTTTAGAAAGCTGCTTGTTATGCTGAGCATTTCCCGCAAATTAGGTAAATATTTTCCCCCAGGATGCGACCCACACCAGTCGACTAACACTCAGGTACCTACTTAATGCTAGGTGAACAGTGACAGCAGGTGCAAGGTGTTAGCCACCTTACACCTGCTGTCACTCTTCACCTAGCAGTAAGTAGGTACCTGAGTGTTAGTCGACTGGTGTGGGTCGCATCCTGGGGGACAAGAATAAGATAAAATCTGGGAATAAGATAAAATCTGGAAATAAGATAAAATCTGGAAATAAGACAGACAGTCCTGGATGACAGACTAACTTTAATGGGTTATCCTGGGTGGATAACTCTCCTCCAGGTTAAAAAAATCAACGAAATCTTATCCTATCTTATCTTATTTACCCTCATAAACCAACTATAAAAATAAGGCAGATTAATAATCAAACCCCAAAGGAAATAAATAACTTGGGCCATTTTTGGGTGCTTATCCTAGGTATTTCACACACGTTTCTATGCAAAAAAAAATGTAAATCATCCAAAAATTGTGTAAATTAAGCGGAAATAAGATTAATTAGCAACTAAACAATGACATTGAAAAAGGTGAAGTAAGTCAGTTATTAAGGCAGCGGCCTTGTCTCGTGTCTATGGATGCCACTGCAGTTTTAGAACCTTTCTAAGCACCGCTCAAAGTTCAAAAAAAAGCAGAAATACAAAAAGTTCTGAACCATTGATAAGATCCGGAATATTATCTATGACAGATGAGACAGACACAGATACATCTGTAACTGTCACTTTGTTTAACTTATCTGGGTTATCATAGCTAATAAACACATTTATTATTATGTAACACAGTTATAATCATCCAAATATTGTGTATTTGTACTTAAATAAGCTTACTATTTATATTGTTATCGTGCGCCATATACACCACCAGGCAGACACTGGCTTTGACTTCCTTTACTCGTTACATTAATAATCTCAGACAAAATCAGTTAATAAAATTATAAATACAGGAAAACTAATACATTGCCTTTATAATTAGTATCGAAAGACAAATTTGATCCTCAATTAAAATAAACTACTATGGTTAATTAATATTAAGTTGTAAGCAGGCATTCGAACGATGTTCCCAAGATGTAAACAATAAAAAAAAATCTGAACCTTAATGCCGCTTTTTTTTTTTTGAAGATTATCATAGCCAGCCCCATGAAGGTTATCATAGCCAGCCCCATGAAGGTTATAGCCAGCCCCATGAAGGTTATCATATCCAGCCCCATGAAGGTTATCATAGCCAGCCCCATGAAGGTTATAGCCAGCCCCATGAAGGTTATCATATCCAGTCCCATGAAGATTATCATAGCCAGCCCCATGAAGGTTATAGCCAGCCCCATGAAGGTTATCATATCCAGCCCCATGAAGGTTATCATAGCCATCCCATGAAGGTTATAGCCACCCCATGAAGGTTATCATATCCAGCCCCATGAAGGTTATCATAGCCAGCCCCATGAAGGTTATAGCCAGCCCCATGAAGGTTATCATATCCAGCCCCATGAAGGTTATCATAGCCAGCCCCATGAAGGTTATAGCCAGCCCCATGAAGGTTATCATATCCAGTCCCATGAAGATTATCATAGCCAGCCCCATGAAGGTTATCATAGCCAGCCCCATAAAGGTTATCATAGCCAACCCCATGAAGGTTATCATAGCCAGCCCCATGAAGGTTATCATAGCCAGCCCCATGAAGGTTATCATAGCCAGCCCCATGAAGGTTATCATAGCCAGCCCCATGAAGGTTATCATAGCCAGCCCCATAAAGGTTATCATAGCCAACCCCATGAAGGTTATCATAGCCAGCCCCATGAAGGTTATCATAGCCAGCCCCATGAAGGTTATCATACCCAGCCCCATGAAGGTTATCATACCCAGCCCCATGAAGGTTATCATAGCCAGCCCCATGAAGGTTATCATACCCAGCCCCATGAAGGTTATCATACCCAGCCCCATGAAGGTTATCATACCCAGCCCCATGAAGGTTATCATAGCCGGTCCCATGAGGGTTATCATAGCCAGCCCCATGAAGGTTATCATAGCCAGCCCCATGAAGGTTATCATACCCATCCCCATGAAGGTTATCATAGCCAGCCCCATGAAGGTTATCATACCCAGCCCCATGAAGGTTATCATAGCCAGCCCCATGAAGGTTATCATACCCAGCCCCATGAAGGTTATCATAGCCGGTCCCATGAGGGTTATCATAGCCAGCTCCATGAAGGTTATCATAGCCAGCCCCATGAAGGTTATCATACCCAGCCCCATGAAGGTTATCATAGCCAGCCCCATGAAGGTTATCATAGCCAGCCCCATGAAGGTTATCATACCCAGCCCCATGAAGGTTATCACAGCCAGCCCCATGATAGTGGACGGAGTTCAGCAGATAGGATTATCATGCTCTTACTTCGCCTTGACTTTCCTCGACGTGGCCACTAGTTGTGGGCTCAGGTCCGCAGAGGACATCAATCGGTACTTGAAGATTTACATGATGAATTTTCCCGAGGTCACCGCCGACTCAAGGGTAAGAACAATGCTTACTGAATTCTAAAATAACATTGATATCAACAGTAGCAACAAGCAGAACAGCTTGCTAAGCTTTAAATTAAAGCAATGCCCATCTATCAGGAAGCAAAAGCCCACTAAGAAGCGTCCACTGAACACCTCATCCCCCCCAGGACAAACTAAAATAAAGAAAATATGAAAAAGTTAGCCGTTCAGGAAAATCAAGCTATCATAACAAGAACTAAAAGTGTAGAGGAGCCAGCAAAACCCCCCGGGGCTTTCACTGAACCATTCTTATCAGAAGACAAACTATCAGGGATCCCATCAGTTAAAAATTAAAATAAGGCTTCCACAAAAAGAGGATTTTACTAAACATTAACTGGAGAGACTGGGTGCAGGGGTCGAGCTTTGGATTGGATTTTGTGTGTGAATTATAGTAGTAGTAAAGATAGGACTAATGATGACTAGTGGTGAAAGAAAGAGTAGTGATGATAGTAATGGTGAAGATAAGAGGAGTGATGAAAATAGTGAAGATAAGACTAATGATGACTGTAATGGTAAAGAGAAGACTACAGTGATGACTGTAGTGTTTGAGTGGAGTGAAAACTGTAGTGTTTGAGTGTAGTGAAAACTGTAGTGTTTGAGTGTAGTGATGACTGTGGTGTTTAAGTGTAGTTATGGCTGTAGTGTTTGAGTGTAGTTATGACTAGTGATGACTGTAGTGTTTGAGTGTAGTTATGACTGTAGTGTTTGAGTGTAGTTATGACTGTAGTGTTTGAGTGTAGTGATGACTGTGGTGTTTAAGTGTAGTTATGTCTGTAGTGTTTGAGTGTAGTGGTGACTGCAGTGTTTGAGTGTAGTGATGACTGTAGTGTTTGAGTGTAGTTATAACTAGTGATGGCTGTAGTGTTTGAGTGTAGTGATGACTGTAGTGTTTGAGTGTAGTGATGACTGTAGTGTTTGAGTGTAGTGATGCCTGTAGTGTTTGAGTGTAGTTATGACTGTAGTGTTTGAGTGTAGTTATGACTAGTGATGACTGTAGTGTCTGAGTGTAGTTATGACTGTAGTGTCTGAGTGTAATTATGACTGTAGTGTTTGAGTGTAGTTATGACTGTAGTGTTTGAGTGTAGTGATGACTGTAGTGTTTGAGTGTAGTTATGACTAGTGATGACTGTAGTGTCTGAGTGTAGTTATGACTGTAGTGTTGAGTGTAATTATGGACTGTAGTGTTTGAGTGTAGTTATGACTAGTGTGCTGAGTGTAGTTATGACTGTAGTGTTGAGTGTAATTATGACTGTAGTGTTTGAGTGTAGTTATGACTGTAGTGTCTGAGTGTAGTTATGACTAGTGATGACTGTAGTGTCTGAGTGTAGTTATGACTGTAGTGTCTGAGTGTAGTTATGACTGTAGTGTCTGAGTGTAGTTATGACTGTAGTGTCTGAGTGTAGTTATGACTGTAGTGTTTGAGTGTAGTTATGACTTAGTTAGTGTTTTGTAGTGTTAGTTATGACTGTAGTGTCTGAGTGTAGTTATGACTGTAGTGTCTGAGTGTAGTTATGACTGTAGTGTTTGAGTTAATTTACACTATGTATGATAATTGTACTTATGTGTACCTGTGCCTAGACAATCTAAAAATTGCTTCGAAATTTCGCGCCAGATATTGAGATTTTAAAGAATAAGATAACTGAAAAAAACATATCATGTGTTTCTTATTTACAAACACACACTCCTCCGATAAATATTGTAGAGTAAATGTTTTTCTACATAAAGTTCGATGCGTATTTGTTTCCTTGAGGAAGTATTATAAGGTATTCCAGAGTCTATGATATGTGTTACGTCCTGTGATTGGCTGTCTTTCTGCTTCTGTTTGTAGCTCACCAATCTTATGTGGCGAGTATAGTCGATAACAGTTAGCCACCTGCGACAACTTAAATTCGAAGTGTCCAGTTTAGTGGGTGAACTTGCTCATCAGCATACGCAACTCGCCTTTCCCAAGCTAAAATGTCCAGCGCAAACAGATGAGAGAGAAAAACCTAGCGTGGAGATACAGATGGGAGGGGTTATAGTGTGACTATTATGGGGGAGTAGTCTCGCCTGGACAGATTTGAATAGTACGGTGAGACGTCTGGCCGGTGGTAGAGTGCTCCTCGGGATTTTGACATTTTCAAAGAATTCTGCTGATTCTGGCGTAACCATGAAAATGGAGGAGGTTAATGTTGGTGGTTTAGGCGTCGGCGTGACGGTGGATATACAGAGAACAGATGGTAAGTGAGAATAAGAGCAGTGT